TGGTGGTCACCAGGAGTGAGGGCAGTATTGGTATAAGTGGACAGGTCAGTGGTGGTCACCAGGAGTGAGGGCAGTATTGGTATAAGTGGACAGGTCAGTGGTGGTCACCAGGAGTGAGGGCAGTATTGGTATAAGTGGACAGGTCAGTGGTGGTCACCAGGAGTGAGGGCAGTATTGGTATACATGCTCAGCCAATATACCAGCCCCACTTTGCATCTCTAAATACTTGTCATGAGAGACTTGCCAGAGCTATCCCTGCCAACCTTATTTACAGTTTGTTAGCTCCCTGGCTGTTATGTTGATCCTTCCTCCAGTTTTGTTCATGAGTCAGTTACCATGAACGAGCATTCAGCTCTTGGATTCCAACTTTACTGGCTGCATACCTGGTGAAAACAGAGGATCAGCACAACAGCCAGGTAACTCAGTTTCTGAAAGAAGCCAGTAAGGGCAGCATTGTTTCCCTACTGACAGGTCCACTGTAATACAATGGGCGTATAAAGTGTATTTCCACAGTCGTAGTATGGAGGCCATTCACAGGGATAAAACATGATGGCCACTATAAATTAAACCCATCTGTCATGATTGTGGAGGTTATGGTGAGGTTAGATTTATGCTCCCGGGCTTTATTGTAAATCCATGTGTTGCTCTATAGTTTCCCTTCCTACCAGTATAATTCCTCATGTATTAGATTTCATCTCACCTAATATTGAGATTTCCTCTCTGCACTCATATCTGTTATTTGATCTTTGGCTCCATGTGCCCCTTTCTCTTATGAATGCCGTTCTGTTATGAATGCTGCGTCTTCTCATCAGATGAGTACTCGACTTCGTAATACTGAGAAATATCACAGCAGTCTGCAAAATGTCCTAATGATGGGAGGGGGTTCTATAAGGGGTGGTGAAGCGGCTCTGAAGCAATGGGCACATTGGGGAGGCATGACATGGGGATCAAAATGGCAGTTATCCATTGGCCAGATTATATATACCCATACACAGTATTTCCCCGAAAGTGAGACCTACCCCGAAAGTAAGACCTAGCACTATTTTTCAAGATTCCTGTAATATAAGACCTACCCTGAAAATAAGACCTAGTTTGGTGGTAGCATGTGAGGGAGAACTTGAAGAGCAGGAGAGATGGTATCAGCCTGCAGGGACATACTGTATTAAGGGGATGACAAAGGACTCCCTCTGACCAGCGCAGTGACAGGGAGCCCTCAGGTACCATACTTCACCAACTGCTGTCCCCCTGAAGGCACTGCTTAATGTAATGGTACTGTACTGTAATGTGTACCGGTAAATGGTACCGTACTTCACAGCGCAGTCTGATGTCCCTGATGGCAAAGGAAGCTGGCGCTGTAGAAAGCAAGGCTGCGGCGGCGGAGGGAGCAGAGCCGCATTAGCTGATACTTCCTCTATAGCACCGTTACTGTGACAGGCTTAGTGATACCAGATGCACTCCTCTTGCTCTTAGTAGAAGGATCCCCTGGTGTTCTCTGAGTTGGTGGAGTGTCCTGTGCAGTGTTGATCCTGGTTAGTAGAAGCTGTCGCTGGTAGGAGAGAGGATGAAGCTCCTGGTTTGTTGGGGCATAGAACCCAATAATGGAACGCCCTACCTTCGTTCTGGAGCTCCTTAAATAGTCTGTGGACGCGGAAGTGGCGCTATGCAGCGTGCTGACACTTCCGCGTTCCTCCCTGGAACGCATAGGAGCGCCACCACCGGAAGTGAAGCGTACAGTATGACGCGGCCGATGCGTTCCAGGCTGGGAAGCAAGCGGTTCCCGGACTCGTTACAGCTGTTGTAATCTGACAGCGATGGGTGTACCCCTGTCAGAATACTCAATCAAATACTGCAGCTGATAGGCCACGAATTTTCAGAGCAGCTCCTTCAAGCTGACTTTTGTTGAATGATAAGGGAGGAGTGGGTTCCAGAGGGGGCCGCGCACTGCTTAAACTCAGCCAATGTATGGTCAGCCTAAATGGCAGTAAACCCGCACTAGACTCATACTTGCCACCTGCAGGGTCCAAATAAGTAAATATGACATTGTTGTATGCAGTATTTTATATTTACCTGACGAGTATGTACTCTATCGTGTTATCTGAATACCATGTTTTTCACTATAGTGGACCTTTAATTCGTCTTGTGTTGTCTGTTTTAGTTCTTTTTCTTCTGAGCTTTTTGTGCAGTACATCTCATTGAATTCTCTGCTTCCATCTTCAGGGGACACTCCATTCTATGCAGACTCTCTAGTTGGAACATATAGTAAGATCATGGATCACAAGAACACATTAAATTTCCCAGAAGATGTGGAAATTTCCAAGCATGCCAAGAACCTCATCTGTGCCTTCCTAACAGAAAGGTATTGTCGTTTGCAAATCCTTGAACTTCTGACTGCAGAAAAAACATAAATTGAGATAACATGTTACGTTGGGGCGTATTTAGAAAGCAGTAAATAAACAATTTGCTATCGGGATCACCAGCGGATTCTTTACCATTTTTAAAAGCATCAGCCCACTGACTTGTAGAGTCGTGGCTTCCACATATATGGATATTCTATTCTTCAATAGATTCATCAACAAATCCCGGTGCAGCAAATGTTATAGCTGATGGTCCCAGTCTGTTTCTAACATTTACCAGTGGCAAATGTATGATTATGCTAATGATATGACTAATACCATCAGCACTCACCTCTGCTCACTCACACAGCACATATCAGGGAGGATTTTAGCTCCGTCCACCTACTGTAGATTCACTAATGTGAACCTGTATGAGGAATTATTATTATACAGGATTTATATAGCGCCAACCGTTTGCGCAGCAATTTACTATATAAGGAAGACCTTACAATCACAATACAATTCAAGACAAGATGGTAAGGAGGGCCCTGCCCCTGAGGGCTTACAATCTAAAAGGGAGGGGGGAAGTGATACATGAGGAGGTACATGAGGATGTGATACATGAGGAATGACATAAATTCTAGGTTGGTGTATGTAACTAGATACACTTTAACCAGTGCAACAAGAGGCATATTTATAAAATGTAAGTGTATCTAAAGCCAGATTGTTTATGAATTATCTCAAAAGCAAATTTATGCCTTTGCCTCAAGCCCATAACCCATTGATGCAGGCCCTAACAGCCCCGAAATGCGGTAAAAAGCTGAGAAAAATCAAACTGCATTTTCTCATTGACACAAGCCAAAAACACTTGAACACAGCCCCTGAAGCTAGCTGTCCCCTTTGGAAGATTACAGTGACATCTGTAAAATTTTGGATTTCTCCTCGCTCTCGATTTTGGTAATAGTGGTCAACCAGGAGAAACAGAGAGGGTGAATCTCCCATAGTGGTCGCAGATGGTAATAAAAACTAAACATGAGTTCTAATCCCTCCCTACTCTTTTTTTCCATTTAACTTCAAGCGGGACTTTACCCATATCTTCAAAATTACAACAAACACACCTTTAGAAGTGTTTAGTAATGACAATCTACAAACACATACTTCTAGATAATTGCCGGCTTTGTATTCTTTGCATACCTTCTTTTTCAATTCCAAAATATTTCATTGGTTTTACATAGCGTTACTGATATAACATTAGTCATATTTTAAAGATCACAAGCAGAGTACATTCTCATAACAGAACCAGGATATTGAATATACAGTTCGTTACTTGGTATACAAAGCGTCTCCTCACAGGGAAGCAAGGCAATCGTCTTTGTCAAGTATATAAGCTATCTCGAGGAGATGTTACTCCAAAGTCGATCCCCGGACCACGCGGAAACCCGTCCGGGTTACCTTCCCGTGCCCAAGGGTCGATATCATCGCTAAACTTTAATAACACAATAGTTTTTAGGAGGGGGAGGGAATGGACATTTGGGTCACAAAAGGAGGGGGGGGGGGGAGCAGGATGCACCAGGGTCTCCCATCGTCTTAAAAGTATGTGAGACTTTCCGAGGGGAGCTCAGGGTGTGCATGAGCAATCCAGGGATTCCAAACCCCCCCAAGTCTTCTCACAGTGGCCATTTTTACTAAGGGCAGATTACTAGCTCTCCTATTACTTCCTGGAACTCTGGCACATGTGACTAGGCTATGTGACCATGTACATCATCTCAGGGGAGGAAAATGCCTTTCCCTTAGATCTCATGAGATTACAGATGAGATTTCCCAGCAATTATGTGATTTCTAGCCAAAAAGGGTAAAGGTCCTCTTCAAAGGAAACTTGTCCTGTGAGAAACCTGGAGGCTCCCATTGCTGACCCCCTTATAAAAATGCTTATTAACCTGGCTGTAATGTTTATTCTCTGACTTCAACACATTCTGAGCCACTGACCTGGAACAAGCATTGAGCAAGTGAAGTCAAAACTTCTGACCTGCATCTTAAGACGGCCGTGAGGGACGCTGACTCCTCCCACAAATGCGGCTAATACCTTAGCCTAAGACATATATATATATATGTATTTTTATTGGATAGAGATACTTTAATAAAAGTCTAAGTACCTTTTTAATAGCTTTTTCAGATAACTATTGAAATTACAGGAGAATTTGAGAACTGAATATATACATATGATAAATGGCATTACTTCCCGCCCCCTCTCTCGTGGACTACTCCTGCCAAATGCTGCTGGAAATTCAGTATAAAATTGCTGATAACAAAAGCAGAATGGCTTTACATGAAAGAGGTTCAGATGTTTAAGTAAAACTATTTACTCAGGAAAACTGGAGTCAATTCCCAAAGGAGAAGCAGAAAATTGGACATTAGACTTATATCTGTCTCTGCCATCCAGACAATTCCACTAGCTGTCATGGTAAGGTAAAGTAGTCTTAAAGGGAAATGCTGCTGCCTGAACTTGGCGGATTGGGTTGCTTGATAGCAAGCACCACAAGATGTTTATAATTGCCTTCCCCTCCCCAGTTCATCAAAACCTGGTCCTTCAGGTTCCACTCAACCTGGCTTCCCCCTGTGCAATGCTTGGGCATCCAACACCCATCCCCAAACACTGTCACTTGGAGCAATATTCTTAAGCATGTTTGAAATGTATAAAGCAGCTTTCAGGGGCCGCAGCAGGGAAGAGTGGAAGAGGTCAGTATAGGCTTCGTGCGAAACCTGCAATTGAGGGAAACCTGTTGATTTGCATAGTCCAGGTTTGCTTTAAAAGTAACAGTTGGCCCTTTTTAAGGCCTTGTTCACACCGAAAGCGTGTGCGTTCCAGAGCGGTAGCTGCAGGAACGCACCGCGATCGCTGATAAACTTCCCCTTGCGTTTTTGGGCCGGAAGGGGGCGTCGCGGTTCATTGTATTCAATGCATTGTACACCCCCCCACTCCAAACGCAAAAAATAGGGCTTGCCACACGTTTTTCCACGCGTTCGATCGCACTGGGGGGGAAGTTTCTCAGCGATCGCGGTGTGTTCCAGCAGCTACCGCTCTGGAACGCACACGCTTTCGGTGTGAAGAAGCCCTAAAATTGAACATTTCACAGGTTTAAGGGCCTGTTCACACATACTGCAGGTGACCTGCAGTGTCCTGTTGGATTGGCGCAGGTCACCCTAAGGACACACAGAAAACAATTTTAGCGGTTTAGCCTACAGCCTAGTGTAAACAGGCCCTTCAAGTCTATGTAAACCTTATGGGCTCGTTTACACTATCTGCAGACACCTGCATTTTTCTACATTTGAGCAACGCAGGTTTCCGCACATGAAAAACAGTTGATTTCTGTGCCCCGTTCACATCACAATGTACGAGTAGAGAGGTGTGAATAAAATGCAGTATGTCTCCATCCATTTCTATGCACCACAGCCAATAAAAATTAATCTTGAGACATTTCAATAAAGTTTTTTTTTTTTTTGAATAAAAAAAACGAAAAGGTAAATAGTACCTCACATTGTAGAAGTGTTAGGCATCTCTCCCCCACCACAAGCACACACAGACACCAACCCACATGCTAAAATAGACCCCCTAACAATGAACTCCTGTTATTTGCTTTGTCTTGGTCTGTTAAATATACCACTGGAAGCATTTTGTTATATCTGATTAAGAACTGCAAAAAATACCCGTTGATCCCGCCAGAAATCCAGGGAGCTGATAACTTGCTGTGCACTCAGTGTTATCAGCCTTGCCTGATTTAGTTCTGTGGAGTACAAAACACCTTTACTCCTATGCTATGGAGATCAGGAGAGGCGAGTTTTTCTGTAGTCTATGCACACTTCCTGTTCTGTATCTCAGACACATACAGTACAGGAGTGTTGTCACCCTAGAACAGGAAGTGTTACTTTTCAGATCACCAGGTATAAAAAAAAAAAAAGCTACAGCCTGAGAAAAGAATACAAATGCATACACCGCATCTAAGGACTGGTAAGCTGCAATAGAATACATCTTTTCTTGGTTTTAGATACACTTTGGGGCTGATGTATAAAGACGCCTGTAATAGGGTGTGAATGGCAATCTGCAAGCTATATGCCGGGCGAATGCCATTCACAAGGCGTTACAGTCGATAGATGGTGCCAATGGGTGTAGGAAAATCCTATGATCCTCTGCTCCATCTAATGGTTGGAATGCCATGCGAACAGCATTCACTATACACTGTGCGAAGCCTTTATTTATCAGCCTTCATAAGTTGTAAAGACAACTGCACGTTACGTTCCCTGCGTGTTCCATATGTGTCCCCTGTCTCTTCCTGAGTGCCTTGGGAAGCTTCTCACCCCAGGCACCTTTGTATGCAGATGGTGGGTTCACCTGCATAGTCAAAACTCTGGCATGATCCCTTGTATTATGCTCTTCTCCTGTTCAGAAGGATACCGAAGAATACCGCTCTGCAATGTAACATTCGGTATGCTTCTGAACAGGAGAAGAGCATAATACAAGGGATCATGCCAGAGTTTTGACTATGAAGTTGAACCCACCATCTGCATACAGAGGTGCCTGGGGTGAGCAGCTTCCCAAGGCACTCAGGAAGAATTAGGGTTTAAAGAAGAACTCCAGGCTTTATTTGTATTAACCCTTTCAGTGGGGCTCCACCCGCACTGCAGGGGGATTAAGTGCTCGTTTGTGTCTAGGTGCTAAAATAACAAAGATATACTCACCCAAAGCTCCAAGCTGTCACAGCGCTCCCTCCAGCCGGTCTCCCCCTCCCTGCAGCATTGGAATCTTCTTCAGCATTCTCACGTCTATACACTGTCTATAAACATTAATGATTTACGGGACCTTAGACCGCTGCAGAGGAGGGGAGAGACGTTGGATGGGCCGGTCTAAGAAGAAGCCGCCTCAGAGCTTTGGGTGAGTAACTTTATTTTTTTTCCAGCTAGACACAAACGGGCAGTTAACCCTTGCAGTATGGGGGTAGGCCCCCTGCGAGGGTTAATAAAAAAACATTTCCTGCTGTTCTCCTTTAAACATGGTACCCTCAGAACTTTGTAATGGAGCACAATAAAAATGGCAGCGATCCTGGTAATAGGTGCACTTTAAGGCTAGGTTCACACCTAGGCGACACCTCACCGCGAGGCAATCGTGCACGATTCCGTGCGGACTGCCGCGCGGCCAGGTGTTAACTGATCGTGCTGTGGGTGCCATTATTTTCTAATGGCACCCCAGTCGCGCAGGGCGGATTGCACGGTTTCCTGCCGCAATTCCGCCTGTGCTTCTGAACACTGGAACAGCCATGCGTCGTGTATCGCAAAAAGAAGGTACTTGTACCTTTCTTCTGCGCTTGTCGTGTGGATGCCACCCCGTTGAAAGCAATGGGGCCACGCGGCAGTCGCTGCCTGCATTGTGCAGGACTGCACAACACCTGGGACGCACGTCCCGGGTGTAGTGCAGGTGTAAACCTAGCCTTAATAATAATTCCATCTTTTGCAAAAAAATAATAATAATAAACGCAGACTTCATCATAACAGAATCAATGTGCATTTATAATGTTTTTGCCTAGGAGCCAGTAAAGCATTGCAACCGCATTCAGTAGAACGCAGGTGTCCCATTTAGAGGTGGATTCTGATTGAATTTAATAGGCAAATATATCATTCTTGCTCTATGCGGCAAAGGCGCTCAGAATTTTGACTGAGAAGACATGAACTAGACAGTTCCCTACACACCTTGTTCCTCTGAGATCACTGAGAGTTCTGTTTTCAGCTTCTGCTGAGGGCTTGGTGTGGCCAAGCTAAATATTTATCTTCATCTGGGCTCTAGAACCCAACACCTCTGTACAGTAGTCAGTAAGCTGTTAATACAGCCAAGGTTTATTTACATTGGTCTGGCTCTACGTAGCATGGGTGTGGAGGCATCTGGGCCAGGAAGGGGTTAAAGAGCCCTGGCGCAGCTATCCTAAGCCTCCATATGTATCCTTTGTCATAGCGCTTGGCAGCCCGCTTTGAAAGGATCCTTTTTTTAATTTAAACCGCTGGCCCAGTGTTTTCTGAACTTCCCCTCGCACGTAGCATTAGGAATGGAAAACTCTTTCATTCCACACGTGGCATTTTAACAAGCTGAAACTGTTTTTTCATCCCCTCCGACGCGAGGCATTCGATGCATATTGCACAGTCCGGAGAGGAGCCGCATAAGGGGGCTGCTCGCCGCCCGTAAGGATGTCAATGCAGACAGGGCATGATCCAATCAGATCTTGTAGAAAGGCTGCTTGTCTCTTCCTGTGTAGACTGCGCTGATGTCACTTGTCATTCTTCTGCTATGTACAGAGAGGTGCGCCTCGGGAGGAATGGCATAGAGGAGATCAAACAGCACCCCTTCTTCAAGAACGACCAGTGGACCTGGGACAACATCCGAGAGAGTAAGAGCCGTTCCTTCATCGGAACCCTTTTTTATTGCCCGTACTACAATATCTTCTGTTTGTTTTAATACTTTGTGTTGTTGTGTTATTTCTTTTTTTTATTTAAGGATATGGTTGTATAACTTTTTGTAACCTGGCTCTATACCTTTTGGAGAGCAGGGTATTTACAATTGTGTGCCTTGGGTATACACAGTGACTGAAATGTAGTTGGGGTATGTGATTTTAATTAAAGAAACACACTGGTTACATTACTTCTACAGACGGCAATGTAGTCACCCCCTCTCCTTGTTACACCTATTGCCTGTGATGACACGTGCTTGATACTAGCAGTCACAGTTGTACTCTACTCTTTTTTCTACCGCTTTATTATACTGTTTTATGTTAAAATTGTAATTTTTGACATAGAGGTTTAAAAATATGTTGTTGATGGAAAAAAAAAAAGTATAAGTATTTGAGTGTGTGCGCATGTATGTAGATGGAAAGAATATATATATTTTTTTTATATATATATATATATTCCCCAAGGAAAGAAACACTTTATTTAAATAAATACGAGAACACCTGCAGAGACTGCAGGTACTTCCAAATCCTGATCAGTTAATGTGAATGTCCAGCCAAAACTTTTTTTTTTTTTGATAGTGTCAACAGACTAGAACACCTTTCAGGTTTTTACTGCTGTTCAGGTCTCCATTAGAAAGATTTTCCCTTACTTACTGTTGAGGAGCCAAAATGTTTGACCATATATGATAAAGAAGGCTTGTTGCACTCCTTACCGGAAAGCCCCGTATTCGGGGAAGGGTGCATGGAATGACTGCGGATGGCGCATCAAGTAGCACATGGTATAAGAGAAACGTCACCAGCACTCCAACTTCCTTTAAGGATAATAAATCGTGGATTTATTGAAAACTCATGTAAAAAACGCAAGCGCTTTCGGGGCCACGCAGGGTCCCTTCATCGGGCATAGCAGTGACGTTTCTCTTATACAAAATTGTTTGACCATACACGTGGTTTCCCAAGTGAGGGACAATTTCAGTACAAGCTACAAAAAATGTGGTTTGTTGTCACGGGGCCAGTAAAGCTGACCATACACTATGCAAATTTTGGTCGGTGGGTACCACTGTCATCACCATTTCGGCCGGCATCCCTCGATTGGATTATCAAAGGAAAATCCTTGAACGAAAAGAGCCGGCAGCCAATCAGCTGCCGGCTTTGTTCGTGTATTTGGACGGCGGCCTCTGTCAAAATACAGTAAAGAGAGCAGGAATAGCCTTGATCAAGCATTGATGGAGGAATCTGTTATATTTTCTTCATACAGCCCGCGGGTTGAATAAATAAAATATTAGTGTATGGGCAGCTTTAGTTAATGGAAAGTTGATAACTCTTCTCCTGCCATATACAATTTTCAGCATGGTCAAGGATGTATGCATCATAAGATACAACGCTTAATCTTTCTTTATAATTCATACATTATGCTGTTACCTGAGGTAATACAACTGTTAGCATGCAGGTAGTATTATGTCTGCAGGCACAGTGTCATAATAAATGATTGGGTGCTGCAGAAACAAGGCCACACATGAGAGGGAAGCAGTAACAAGCTGAAGAGACACAGCCACACATGAGAGGGGAAAGGGAGATTCTGCAGAGACACAGCCACACATGAGAGGGGAAAGGGAGATGCTGCAGAGACACAACCACACATGAGAGGGGAAAGGAAGATGCTGCAGAGAGACAGCCACACATGAGATGAGAAAGGAAGACGCTGCAGAGACACAGCCACACATGAGAGGGGAAAGGGAGATGCTGCAGAGAGACAGCCACACATGAGAGGGGAAAGGAAGATGCTGCAGAGAGACAGCCACACATGAGAGAGGGAAAGGAAGACACTGCAGAGAGATAGCCACACATGAGAGGGGAAAGGAAGATGCTGCACAGACACAGCCACACATGAGAGGGGAAGGAAGATGCTTCAGATACACAGCCACATATGAGAGAAGGAAGACACTGCAAAACAAGGCCACACATGATGAGAGGGGTGCAGTGAGAGTCAGCAGAGACAGCCACACATGAGAGAAGGAATATGCTGCAGAGACATCGCCACACATGAGAGAGGAGCAGAGACACAGCCACAAGAAAAGAGAGGAGGGTGTTGCAGAGAATCGGCCACAGAGAAGGGAGAGACTGTAGAGACAGCCATACATGAAAGAGGAGTAGCAAGAGGCTGCAGAGTCATAGCCACGCATTAGAGGGGAAAGGAAGAGGCTGCAGAAATATAGTCCCACACTAGAGAAGAGAAGGAAAGCCCTGCAGAAACACCGCCACACATGAGCGAGGAAAGGAAGGGATACAGAGATACTGTCAGGGTGTGAATGAGGTTAGTTCACACCGCTCTGTTCTGTTGCGTTACATTATGTTGCGCTGAAAACAATGGTAGAACACGCACTACTTTTTTTCAGCGCAACATAACACAAGATCCAGTGTGAACTAGCCCCATTCACATTAATTTTTCTGTGTTCTGTGCCCTTCTGATAGCATTCGTTGAAAACTAGATCGTAAGGTACAATTGTAAGTCAACGGACCCTCGGTGACTTGCGATTTCCTTCCGATTTGTGTGTGAATAGGCCCTAAATGCATCGTATCAGATACAATTATGGGGCAAATTTAAAAATCAATGAATGTGACATTCACCAAACGTGTTTTAAATGTGTTTTAATATACAGTGACTGACTCACCTCCGGTGAATGTGTGGTGAATGTCACATGTTCTGTTTTATAAACATGCCAAGTGGAAATTATAGAAATAAGAACCTTGTCTGTATGAGCTTAAATTTTCGGCTGGACTATTTATGCTGCACGTTGTTGATTTATCCCTCCTGTCCCAGCAAAGGAATGTATGATTTCCCCTTCTCTCTGTGAATAAGAGGGTTGTTAGGAGTGTGTGTGATATTTCAGCATTACACAAAGCCCCCAGTATTCTGTAGTTCACAGAATCCCGCTTGTGTTCGTGCACCACAACCTGCGCTACGTGCCTAGACTGCAGTGTAGGGAGGATGCTATGCGACATACTCGGAATTGGTCGGTGGCCTTTTTACCATTTGTTTTTATTTACAGATTCCTATAACCTGTTGCAGTCCGTTAGGTTTGCAGCTGACCTAGTTTTACAACATCTTATCGCTTGAAGCCCAACACAAAATTTCTAGTACAGAGAAGAACTAAATCAGATTATCTGTACTGCTCCATAGTAAGCACATAAATGTTCATTGAAACTCTAGTTTTGTTAAAATAAAATAAAACATATACACACCAGACCAACTATACATGTTTTCAGGAAACTTCACTGCCGATGTTATCCTGCTTGTGTTCTGTAGCTACGGAGGTAGGTGATGCTGAAACAGTGCTAACTGGGATGTTCTATCTTAATTATTATTATTATACAGGATTTATATAGCGCCAACAGTTTGTGCAGCGCTTTACAATATAAGGAAGACATTACAATCACAATACGAATCAAGACAAGATGGTAAGGAGGGCCCTGCCCATGAGGGCTTACAATCTAAAAGGGAGGGGCAAGTGATACATGAGGAGGTAGCTGCATTGGGATGAATTGTTTTAGAACGTGATGGTCGAGCGGTTAGGTTGAGGTGGGATAGGCTTCCCTGAAGAGATGAGTTTTTAGGGATTGCCTAAAGGCAGTGAAGGGTGAGATTGACAGGTTGGGGTAAAGAGTTCCAGAGGATGGGAGAGACTCTAAAGAAGTCCTGGAGGTGAGTATGGGAGGAGTTGGCAAGGGAGCTGGAAAGCACGAGGTCTTGGGAGGAGCGGAGGGGACGGTTAGGGTGATATTTTGAGACAAAGTTTGAGATATATCCTTTGGGCTATTGGAAGCCAATGTAGGGATGGGTAGAGGATGGAAGCCAGTGCAGGGATTGGCAGAGGGGGATTGCAGACACTGAGCGGTTGGTTAGGTGAATGAGTCTAGCAGCTGCATTCATGGTAGACTGAAGGGGGGATAGTCTGTGTAGAGGTCGGCCAATGAGGAGGGAATTGCAATAGTCAAGACGAGAGATAACAAGTGAGGGGATGAGTAATTTAGCGGTTTCATTGGTGATGTTACGATGGTGAAGGCGGCAGGATTTGGATAGTGATTTAATGTGGGGGAAGAAAGGTGAGGTCTGAGTCAAGGATGACACCTAGCACCTTGGCATGAGGGGGAGGGATGGATGGTTGTTATCAATCTCAATGGAAATGTGGGGGAAGGTGCCCGGGCGGGAGGAAATATCAAGAGCTCAGTTTTTGAAAGATTGAGTTTTAAGAAGTATTGCGACATCCAGAGGGATATGTTGGCTTTTTTGCCCTGCTGTCTGTGTCTCCTTTGGAAAGATATCCATCTGACTGGCTACCTGATGATACTCATATCTCTGGGTCCCTGCAGACATCTTCAATTTTCTTGAGCGTGCAGTTGGCCGGGCTTGGTATGTTGGACCTCCATGTTTTATCACTGGCCATTGTAAGACTGATGATATCAAAGAAAGTGGTAGGTTATAAAGCCTTGTAGTGAGCAGCTGTTTGGAAACCAAAAACAGAAATCTCTGAGGTAGCCAGGATCTTTATAGGAGCCTTGAAATAAGTCCTTTATTGGCACTACTTGGAACTGTTACAAGCAAGGCTCCAGCAGTAAGTGTGGCCATGAACAGATGTTTCTCTCAGAGTGATAGGTGGGGAGATATCCTCTGGGGAGATATCCTCTCATCCTCAGTCATGAAAGGATACACTTAGAGGTCAATTTATGACTCTGAAAACAAACACAAACTCCAAGCCTAGATAAAGTATACCCTGTGGGGTTGATATCTTTTCTTTTGATTTTTTTTTCCTGTCACCCAATAGCTTTTGTGTTTCATTAGGAGGTCCAATGACCAGTGATAAAACATGGAGGTCCAACACGTCAGGCCCAGCCAACTGCTCGCTCTAGAAAATTGAAGAGGTCGGCGATATGAGTATCATTAGGTAGCCCAGTCAGATGGATATCATCCAAAAAGGGACACTGACCGCAGTGAAAAAAAGCTGATCTTCTTTGTTCTACAAATTTTATGTTGGGCTTCAAGCGATGGAATGCTGTAAAACTAGGCCAGCTGCAAACCTAACGGACTGCAACAGGTTATAGGAATCTGTAAATCAAAACAAGTGGTCAAAAAGGCCACCGACCAATTCCGAGTCAGAATTTTACTGTCACCAAAAAAACCTTTGACCACCATGGACATCTGTGGGACCCTTGTGCAGTGTTCAGTAATAGACTGTGGTGTTGGCATGAGGAAGCAAAACCGGAATGATAACCACTAGGGTGACCATCACGGAGCTTGTCATCTCAACTAGTTAGCCTGGATGTTAAACCACTATATTGTGGTTGTGTTTTGTGCCTTAATTGTCATGGATTGAGGAAGTCCTCAAGCTTCAGCAGCAGTGAATGTTTGTAGGATATCCTCAAAGAATCTAAAGGATCTTTTTACTAAGTCTGGTTAATAAGATCAGTCAGTTATGCCTTAGGACAAACCATACATTGTTGGTGATAGGTAAGGACAGGTTTGGAATCCTGTGTCAAGTGTATACATGGGATTGCTAATGGATAATTGATCTGGAGTTGTGTATGAAAGTTTATTCTCTTGTGTTAACAGTTTGTTTCCTTTCCCTACCATAGCGGCTGCCCCTGTGGTCCCCGAGTTGAGTAGTGACATTGATACCAGTAATTTTGATGACATTGAAGATGACAAAGGAGATGTGGAGACCTTCCCAATCCCTAAAGCCTATGCTGGGAACCAGCTGCCTTTCATTGGCTTCACCTATTATCGTGAAAACCTGTATGTATCATATTAGTTTGGTTCTGTATTGTGTATTTTGAAAAGTGGACTTATGCGCAGATGTTAAAAATGTTTATGGACTAAAATGTTTACTTTTCCTGGGAAAAATGCTACTCCATACTCCCCCGTACGTTTGTGGTCATATTTCTTTTATAAACAGAAGGATCAACCAATCAAAACTCTGATCCACTATTTCTACACAGACCATGTGCTTAAATGCCCAGTTATATGATTAGCACAAGAGGGAGCCTCATAGCTGCCTTTTCTCCTGGTGCTTAACCCAATCGCTGTGTAATTATCCATTGTCAGCAAGACTATTAACTTGACTTAATGTTCGCATTTGTGTTTAAATACCTTTAAAGGAATTAGGGCTTATTATTTATTTTGAGAATAGCTACTTCCAGGAACATATCACACTATTTGAAGACATCATTGTTTATATGCGTTATTAATAATCTGAGGCATAAGTGTACTTTCCGCAGCTTGATTAATTTATAACTTGCCTTTTAGTTTGGTATTTCATTGTTGCCAATGTGTTTGTTACCTTGGTTGTATTTGTGCAGATTGCATCACTCTATGGTTATAAAAACATGGTATTTATTGTACAAACCATCACATCTAAAACACCCTAAAGAAGCAGTTCCCCAAAAGTAATACTTCTGCTTTAGTTGGAGTCTGGCAGGCTGAGGCACCCACTGCCTTCTTATATCATGCTGTCTCGAGCTGGGGTTGATGGGTGCCGTGATTCCCAGCTTTGTTCCCACCCACTTTCTAGTCTTACTCCTCTTTCTGCATCAAGTCAAGTGAAAAACATTGACTATCTCATTACAATGGCATCTGGAAGTGGGAGAGATATATTAGGCAGCAAGAAAACATTTTGTCCCTGAATTTGATGTGTTGGAAGCAGAAAAAATGGGCAAGCGTAAGGCTCCATTCCCACAGAGTGGTTTTCCGCGTGTATTCGAACATACGAATACGCTCGGAACCGCTCTATAAAAAAACAATGCACTTTAATGTGCATCGTGCAGATTGTTGTGGCGGCCGCGTGGCATGAAACCGTGTTTCCCGCAAAATAATACAAGCATGATTTTATGGCGGATTCCTTGCATTCCAGCTATAGTAATCGCTGCAAATGTGCGGAATCCGCGCTTATGTTCAAGTTTGCACGTTTCATTCCGCACGGCTTTCCATGTGAAAAACCGAGCAGAAAACACTACCGCCATGTGTGAATGGAGCCTAAGAATTTCAGCCGCTTTGACAAGGATCAAATTGTGATGCCTGGACAACTGGGTCAGGGCAGCTCCAAAACCGTTTTAGCTCTTGTGGGATGTTCCTGGTCTGCAGTGGTCAGGGAATATCAAAAGTGGTCCAAGGAAGGAAAACCGGTGACATGGTCATAGAGTGGCCAAGGCTCATTGATGAACATTGGGAGCAAAGTGTAGTCCGATCCAATCCAAGAGCTACTGTAGCTCAAATGTCTGCTTGAGTGTGGCCTTTGCTGCAACAGATGTGTAGACTGGGGAGCCGAAGGGCAGATATACTGTATTACCACTCTAGTCCTGAGACAGAAGAAACTACTAGGTGTTCTGATTCTCCAGCATCTAGCATAACCTGTAATATCTGTTTTAGATGGACTGACCCTTAATAACGCATATTAAAACACCTGCAAAACATATGCATTCTAAACAAATGGGTGTTACCGGGCCCTGAAGATGCATAGCTCAGGCCAGGGTTGGTCAAAGTACGCCATCTGGACATTTAGCAATTTCAGGTCCCTGCATGTCCTATACAAATGGTCACAAATTCCTCCACACTAAATGTGTGTGTGTGTAAACATTAGCAAGTTTGTCATTAATTACAGGTTTTTAATTGCAGTTCCACTTATTTTTGCAGTTTGCAAAAACATGGTAGTGAAACACTGCTAGATTTTCAACTTTGTAAATGGCATTTATTGTTTTTTTGTTTCTTATTACAGTACAGGTCGTTAAAATACCTGCTGTGCCCTGTGGGGAAATGTTAACATTTTATTGGTAGCCATGTTGTCTACTTTCAGCTGACCGTGCCATACATAGACAATACATTAGGTGTGTCTATTACACCGTCAGTCAGATTCAAACCTCCACACTTCTAGCTGTCATTTTTCAGTGCAGTTTTAAAGGTCAGTTCATCTGAAATATATCACTGGTTATTGTAGATTCTCACAGTTAGAAAGGAGTTAAGATATTCTTAAAGGTATAAGAAACCAGGAGCAAACAGTCTGACCCTTCAAGGAAAAGCCCTACTTATTTTTTTTTCATCTTATCAAAAACCTCTTCATTTATCTACTACCATTTATGATTCACTATGATAAAGCCTTCATTTCTTAGTGACACCAAACTTTTGTTTCCCATGGTCCCTGTGTGTGCTGTAAAGTAGTCGGCACTTCAAGATTCCTCCTGTGATGGACTACAATCTCAATATAAATTAGTTAAATCGTGAGATTGTAGTCCATCACAGGAGTGATTTTTGGTTCGTGGGCTACTTTACAAATGATTGTAATTACATACCGTAGTAGTATTACATAGTATTTAAGGTTGAATAAAGACATCAGTCCATCAAGTCCAACCTATAAAGTAATGTCTTCCTTATTTTGTAAAGCTCTGCACAAACTGTTGGCGCTATATAAATCCTGTATAATAATAATCATAATTAAGATGGAACATCCCTGTTAGCACTGTTTCAGCATCACCTAGCTACAGAACACAAGCAGGATAACATCGGCAGGGATGTTTCCTGAAGACATAGTTGGTCTGGTGTTTGTTTTATTTTAACAAAACTAGAGTTTCAAAGAATGTTTTGTGCTTGCTATGGAACAGTACAGATAGTCCTTTTTGATAAATCAGTCATAGATTCACACGCTTGATCTCGGGCTTTACAAAGTGCTTGTTTTGTTCCTTTATTTTCTCAGAACCAAGACTGGATGAATTTCCCTTTTCATACATATCCAGTATGACTGCCACCAAAATGTGCAAATACCGTATTTTGCACTCTATAAGGCGCCCTGGACCATAGGATGCAGAGTTTCTGTGACAGAAGCTGCAGTTAGTGACCACTGAGACAGGTGGCACATATCTAATTAGATCACTTGTATTAAACGAGCAGCGGCTCCCACAGAACATTCAGCTCTGCTTGTCAGGAGCAAGGCTGAATGTACAAAAAAACGACTCTCCCGGCGCCCGAAACTGCATGTGCCGGGCGATAGGCATTCACCACTTTTGGGGGGAAAAAAGTGCGTCTTATGGAGCGAAAAATACGGTATGTCTTTGGGCATAGTGGATACTTCGGGATCATGTCACAGTATAAAGGAAAATAACATGTGAACAGTTTACAGCTGTCACTAATCTGGGAAAAATGAAAGCTAGGCTATAATTTTCAGCTTTAAATAATGATCAGGAGATAAGTTTAGTTCGATTTGCTACCTTTATGGCACCCCTCTAAGCAATACTTATGTTGTGCAGCATAAATGTCCTTTGGCAAGTCTTCAGCACACGTGTTGGACGGCGTCGCAGGACATGAATGTATGCCTGCAAGGAGCTGCCAGCTGGACCTGCTCATTCAGATGGTTAAGCCTTCCAAGGCATTCTGGGAAAAGTCACAGCCTGTTCCCCTGAGGTTAGCGGCAGTAAACCCAGGCTGAATTCTGTTCTTCCTCAGTAGAGCTCTCTTCCCTTTGCCTGCCTTGGATCATCCCATGACCTAACGTTTTAGAAACATAACCATAATCAAAATATTTCTATGCTTTGATCCAAACTCTGCAAACTGTTTAGAGATCTGTCCTGCTATGGCCAAGTATTTTTATGAGTCTGAACTGTTTCATGTCTTTTCTTACACCGTCTTTTCTCTTTCACAATTTTCTCAGATTGCTGAAGGACCCTGCCCAATTCAAGGAAGAGAAGGCTACAGCCATACATCCCACAAAAGAGGTAATTGTTAGCCTTGTGTACCAGGTTATATTTCAGTGTGACGTGTTACCTTAGTGGCTAAGAGCCCAAATCTACAAATCATACCAAAGGGCTTTTCAGGGAATCCAAAGAACTATTTGCTCTCTGGAATTTATAATCTTGCCTAACATCATTGTTTTGTAGGCCTTACTCTGTAACAAGTGTGAAGTGGAATGATGTACAGTATGCTGTCCCCAGTCCCACACTTCCTCAGCTCTAGAATCACATTGGCCATATCTTGTGTAGCCCTCCTAGATATCATGGGTGTTGACCATCTTTTATAGCAAACCTTGACCAGAGCTTCCACTGGATTGTAGAGTCCCCCAATCAGAGCCTATAGAAAAAACAGAGCATTGTCTGTCAGCTGAGCTCTTGTATCTTGCCTCAGCCATCCTTACCAATACCTACCTTGTCCCCTTCAGTTCTGCTACTGGATTTGCCCCTTAATTGTCCAGAGGATACCATACCAGAAAGGGAAACAGTAAAGACAATTCAGTTATATTTTATAGTGAGGCAGAAGATGATGAAAGCTAAATTCCAGGTAAACCAGAAAATACATAGTTGAAATAAATATGAGGGAGCTGTTTGGCCACTTCAGCTCTTGTGTAGGCATTGTGGGTGTTGACCCCTTTCTATAGTCTGCCTTAACCAGAGCATCCACTGGATTGTAGAGTCCTCCTATCAAGGCCCTACAGAAAGAGTAGAGTATTGTCTGTCCGATGAGCTCTTGTGACTTGCCTCAGCCTCCCTTACCTACCTTGTCCCCTTCAGTTCTGCTACTGGATTTACCCCTTATTTGTCCAGAGGTGACCATACCAGATAGAGAAACAGTAAAGATAATTTAGTTATATTTTATAGTGAGGCAGAAGATGATGAAAGCTAAATTCCAGGTAAACTGCTAAATACATGGTTGAAATAAATATGAGGGAGCTGTTTTACCTGGAAAAAGAATTGTATTTCAGCCTATCCAGTTCTGAGCTATACATAGTCCTGCCACCCAGCACAGTCCTCTTGGGCAGGTCAGACAACCATACATTTATCTGTTAAATTGTTAAATTTAAGTATTTTCTCTTGCCAGCTTGTGATTGGACAAGCAGCACACCGATGCATTCATCTCTTTCTCACTCTACTCTCTGCTGCTGTTAGCACATGGACACTGCAGCACATCTGTTTGGCTTATTCATGCTGCTTCTTCCTCTCTGTCTGGTCTCTGTGTTACAGTAGATTGCAAGAGTCTAATACCAAGTTGAATTCAGGTACTTACACTGCCTATTGATTTATTATTACCAAGCTGGATTAATTGTGTCTGATGTTTACCTGGAGTTCAACTTTAACAACCAATAATATGTCACACGGATGACACCTTATAGCATTTGTTCATGCTTCAATCCTTTCTCGCGGTAACGCAGAAAACGTGGAATAAACTTTGTTCCTTAGCCCTGCGGTAACCAATACCCGGTTTGACACCAGAAAAGTCATATTATAATGATTATATCGGTCTGGAGGCTACCGGCCCAGCAGCTGGAATTTATCTCTGCTGTATCTTGTTTCTGGGCCAGATAATCAGGGTTTTTCCAAGTGGTGTCCATATGGACTCCTATTACATTCAGTCCTTACTGAAATCCTTGTCCAGCCACTTTGTTATGTTCTGAATGACCAACCCTCTGTGTCTGTAAAATACGATCTGTAATGTCTTCTCTATTATTCCCTGTGTAGGAATCTGCACAGCTCCAGAAAACTATTCAGCAGCTAAAGGAGAAGCTCCACAATGAGGTGCAAAGCAAAGAAGAGCTTGAGCACAAGTACAGGTGTGTGAATATTCTCATTGAATTGTACTGCTTTGCATATCAGCAGATTGGTAAGACATTTACTGTAAATACACTGCACTGTGTCTGCTCCATGTCTGTCAATGAATCTTCCCATAGACACAATGACTGAGAGCCTGTCCCTGTATCTTTCCATGGACACAATGACTGGGAGCCTGTCCCTGTATCTTTCTATGGACACAACGACTGAGAGCTTGTCCCTGTATCTTTCCATAGACACAATGACTGAGAGCTTGTCCCTGTATCTTTCCATAGGCACAATGACTGAGAGCTTGTCCCTGTATCTTTCCATAGACACAATGATTGGGAGCCTGTCCCTGTATCTTTCCATGGACACAATGACTGGGAGCTTGTCCCTGTATCTTTCCATGGACACAATGACTGGGAGCTTGTCCCTGCATCTTTCCATAGACACAATGACTGAGAGCCCGTCCCTGTATCCAGTGGCGTAACAATCACCATAGCGACCCAGGCGGCCGCTATGGGGCCCCGGGGCACAGGGGGGACCAACCAGGACATCCCCCTGATGCCGTGTGGGCCGCCTGGTTCCCTATGGCATTTCAGGCTGCTGGCTGTCACTGGCGGCTGTGAGGAGAAACACGCAGCCATTCGCATGTGCAGCAGCGCATACCTCCTCACAGCTGCTGAGTCGATGACAACCAGCAGCTTTGGTGGAGGTGGCTGGGCCCGTCGTCGGCAGCAATTGAGGAGGCGGGGCCCAGCGATCGAGGAGGCAGGTCTTAGCGATGGCGAGGCGGGCCCTGTGATCGAGGAGGTGGGGCCCTGTGACTGAGGAGGCGGGGCCCGCAAGCGATTGTGTAGGAGAAGGAGGCGGGCAGAGGATCAGCCAGACAGGTAAGAGGGCTTGACCGCCCACCTGAGACCCTGCAGAGTTCACCATAGAGAGTATATGGTGGGCTCTGCAGGGTCACCCTCAGGTGGGCTGTTTGAGTTATCAGGTGGACTTATCTAGAAATCACAGGGCCCCATACAAAATTTTGCTATGGGGCCCTGTGATTTCTAGTTACGCCCCTGCCTGTATCTTTCCATGGACACAGTGACTGAGATCCTGTCCCTGTATCACTTCGGGGAAATGGTGACTGAGAGCCTGTCGCTATATTTCTCTTGGTCACAATGATTAAGTCTGTCCCTGCATTGTTCCATGCACTCAGTGACTGCGAGCCAATGCCAGTTAGCTAAATAAATGTCTAACACAAGGGTAAAAGTAGACATTCTGACTAGAAATGTTAACGCAAATCCTGCCTGCAGCTGTTCGTATAAACAACGCTATGTCTCACGGAAGAATTTGCAAGACTGCCCCAAGCACATGTGTGAATGGGGTCTTCCTCTAACTGTTCCATAAGTGCAAGAAATACCTGTTGACCCTGTCAGGAATTTTCTGAGCTGATAACTTCCCCTTCTCTCTGCCTGTACTGCAGTCTTATCAATTATATTGTCCATCACTATCTCTGAGGACTATAGAACCCCCACCCTGTTATAGAGAAAAGGGGGGGGGGGTTATTTATGGTCCTGTCCTATGCTGACAATGCCACCATTCCCATATATACAGTAGAGTACATGAGTGTTGTTACCCTAGGACAGGGAAGTGTGTTACTATCAGGATCACCAGATGGAAATAAAGCCTTTAAACAAATAGAAAAGTAATGCAAACACCACATTTAAGGACTAGTCAGCTGCAAAATGTTACTTTTGGGTTTAGATACAATCTTTTATCTAATTTAAAGGATGTCATTATACTAAAGGCAGCACTTCGCTTTTGGCCATTTTTTTTTTTTACTCGGCGGACGAATGCAGGATTCGAGATTCCGGGAGGATTTTCACTGGTAGCTTGTGGTGCTGTGATTGAGGGTCCAGTGAATGGGAAAATCATAGACTTCAAAGCTTCGTGCACATTTGGTTTTGGACTATTTTTTTCTGTCTGGGAATCGCATTGCTGGAACATGTGGCTTAACCACCTGGACGACCCTGCTGGCCGCCGCCATCTTGCTCCCCATGGCGACCTCTTTTGGCCATTTTTAATATCTAGAAAATTAAAAGCAAGTAGATGTCTACAGTAAGGCTCCATTCACACCTTTTTTGCTCAAAGCTAAGCGCAACAAAATGCTCAAGACAAGGAATCCCATTCCCTTTTATGACCCCTGTTCACACCTAAACATTTCATCTAGAGTGTCTATGGGACTGGAAAACGTTGTAATTTGCCAAAAAGTCGCTCATGTACTAAAGCTGGTCATACATCAGTAGACTTCTATTCCAAAAAAATAAGTTTTTGGAACGAACTTTTGTTTGATTTTCTAATAGTTAATAGGATTATTTTACAATCATTTTCAGCTGTAGTCTAAGGAGCAGGATGTAACATTTTTCCCAAAAGAAGAAAATTCTAACAGTAAATGTGTTTTTTGTTGGAAAAACTTGATTCATTCCAAAATCAAATGATAAAGCCAAATTAGATTTGGAACAACATCTGTCCTATCTCTTATGGCATTATCGTATGTTCTGTTCAAAAATGGCCAGTATATGGATTGGTAAACTCACTCACAGGCATACAGTTGATCTCAAGGGCATGTAACTTGCGGTTCAATATATTTTTGTGGCTTGTATTGAATTATCATTTGAGATTATGTACTGAGATTTTAAGATTTGTGTTTAATTCTTTTAGGTCCATAACTTCTCGGTTGGAGAAGACAGTGAAGGAGCTGGATGAAGAGGTAACTATTTCATTGATTTCAGCTATACCAGGATTAGTGAAATGATAGAAGAACTCGAGATATTTTTTTACATTTTTGATAAAGTGGTAAAGGCTTAAAGAGGAAATTTACACAGTTCTTCAAATTACCAAGACACCTTTAGAAATATTTAGTGATGACAATCTACAAACACATACTTCTAGACAATTGTCGGCTTTGTATTCTTCGCAGACCTTATTTTTCTTTTCCTCCCCATTCTTCTCACAGTGGCCATTTTTACTAAGGGCAGATGAATCCATCTCCCTTTACTTCCTGGAACTGTGACCATGCACATCATCTCAGGGGAGGAAAATGCCTGTCCCTGAGATCTCATGAGATTGCAGATGATATTTCACAGCAATGAAATATAAAGTGGGTAAAGGTCCACTTTAAAACCTAAAACAGGTGAAAATGACCAGGGATACGAACAAGTACTATATATATGAACTTTGGGTCCTCCTGACGTGAGGTAGAAGAGCAGTACACACCTTCAAATAGGTACTTGAATGCATTTTTAAGATTTAACTCATGAGTTTAGTGTTAGTTTAAGTGAGTGCTTCAGTTATCTTCACTCTGCTCTCAGCTTTGATTTTTTTATTGTCATTAATAGCATTTTGTCATCTACATTGTTGTTTGATCTACTTCTAGGTGAATTCTCGGAAGAACTTGGAGTCTACTAGTCGACAGCTGGAGAGAGAGAAAGCTCTTCTACAGCACAAGAGTGTCGAGTACCAAAGAAAAATTGAAAATGAAGCGGAGAAGAAGCGCAGTCTAGAAAATGAAGGTCTGTGAGCTGTGATGTGTGTGCCAGATATGAATGGAATGTGAAATCACTGAGATGCTGTAGACATCTGATTGTCAGTGGCTAAGGAGGTGTATAATGATCTGCTGGCTGCTTTCTGTAGTATTGCATAGTATTGTAGTATTGGGTCAGTCCAATAGTTTCTAGTGGGATTTCTAAATTTACATCCATACTAAAAAAACGCTCATCTTTATTGTGAGGAGAAATTGTTTAAAAGAGATCTATGGCCCAACCTTTTTTGGTGTTGGTTCTCTTTAGGGTCACAGAAGGACATTTACTATGTAATCCTGTTACCCAAAACTCGGCATATAGCTGGCTATTGCCTGCTATATGCTGAGAGCACAGAGCCATGCTGCGGCCCGGAAAGATCTCGACAATATTTTCAGGATCCACCCCGCCTCTTGATTGACAGTTGGCTCTGCCTCTCCAAAGGCAGCGCCATCTGTGCCCGCCCCCTCCCCTGTCCGTTCCTCCATTCAGCTCTGGAGGAATGGAGAGAGGAGGGGGAAATCCCCGCAGGGAGTGGTGAATGACAGTCACTGTTCTCTGCAGGGAGAAGATCGTGAACTGAGCAATCAGTGGTATGTGTGTACGATCTATAGAGCTGACGTGTGACAGCTGCAGTGTCACCCGTCGGCTCTAGTTATAGGAATGAGGGTAGTTCGCTCTCTTCATTATTCTCCTTTTAGGAATGGACGTGAGCATCTTTTCCATGCAGCATAGGGTGTTTTTACACTAGTGTAGAAAAGAAGGTGATGAGAATAGAGGGATCTCCAGGGAAAACTCTACTTAACCCTTCCTGTGAGGCTACCCCCACACTGCAAAGGTTTAGGGCTAATTTTTGCATAGGTTAAAAAATAAAAAAGTTATACTCCCCTGATCCTCTGATCCGGCTTGCTCTTAGACCGTTCTCTTTCACCTCTCTTCTCCTTCGCTGCAGGAATGGTATGTCCCTCAGCGTTCTCACATCCTGTACACAGTATATAGGACGTGATGACTCACAGGACCTTTTGACCGCTGCAGCGAAGGGGAAGAGAGGCGGAAGGGACGGGTCTAAGAGTAGGCTGTCCTTTTTAGGCCATCAGAAGGGTCACCCTGGGTGAGCTCCAATGTTGGCGGTTTCCCATTACTGTCACCCAGGGAGGGACAGTTATGATTCACCCACATAAGCTCTGACACCAGATCTTACCCAGAGTGAACTGATTCTGCCTTCCAATAGGCAAGACAGTGAGCGCTGTGACAGGGAGGTTACATGTGCCACCATTCCAGTCATGACTATATCCTGTTCGGGATAGGTGGGGTGGGGGCTATCGCAGAGTGCAGAAACGTCACCAGCACACTATTTAGACGTGAAAAAAATGATTTAATGACACACACTTGTCATTCAAATGCAAACGTTTTCGGGGCCTCACAGGGTCACCTTCATCAGGTTCAGAATTACCTTGAAAGGGTCCTGTGAGGCCCCGAAAACGTTTGTATTTGCATGACAAGTGTGTGTCATTAAATGGATTTTTTTTCACGTCTAAATGATGTGCTGGTGACGTTTCTGGACTCTTATGTGACATTCACGGTGCCACCCGTGCTCATTTCAAGCACCCGCCTGATCTTTTAGGTTTATTCTTTGGAATCAGGAGTGCAAAAGGACATATCTATACTTCTCAGCAGACATTGACACCTGAATGAAAAGAGTAATAGTGTCTTGTTAGCCTTGCCATATATTTTACAGTCCAATTGTACAATGCAAGTTCCCCTTTAGAGTTCCCAAATCTGCATAATGTGAGGGCCCCACCTATACCATCTGCCCCACTTGTAAACGATCAGGCAACCCCTCATAGTTGTTGGCAGATTTAAAAGCAATTGTATAATCAGATTGCAACATGTATCTTTGTGTTCTGTGTTCAACTTCATTGTATCCTCACCATGTGTGGATCCTACACTAAGCTACGAATGTAGCAGCATGGGACATATAGTAGTAAAGCCTGCTTGGAGATGACCTATTCCCTTCTTAGATATACACCGATACATGAAAAGACTAGTTTTGCCCAAACTTCATGGAAAAAAAATGAATACAAAACAATTTTGATCTTTGCTTTTGTAAGGAAGCTTTACCATTACATCACAACAAAATGCTTTGTCTCTTCTACAGTGACTAGCCTTAAGGATCAACTTGAAGACCTGAAGAAGAGAAACCAAAATTCTCAAATCTCCAATGAGAAAATTAATCAGCTCCAAAGACAGGTAGGAATTTTTTTTTTTGTCTTTCTCCTTAAATTTGAGCAGTTCCTTACAAAATGTCTGCGCTCATACTAGGCACTTTGTTATACTAACTTTGTCCCTTTTACTTCCAGCTGGATGAGGCCAATGCTCACTCACGGACAGAAGCTGACGCGGCCACCCGTTTACGGAAAACCCAGAATGAAATGTCCAAACAGTTCCAGCAGCTGGAAACAAACAATCGTGAACTCCAGGATAAGACGTGCATGTTGGAGAATGCCAAACTCAAGTTAGAGAAAGACTACATCAACCTGCAGTCTGCTCTTGAGTCTGAAAAGAGAGACAAGACGCAAGGCTCAGAGATCATCACAGACCTTCAGGGTAGGGAAATACGCTGTTTGTTCAACATATAGTTACATTGTTCCACCTCTATACAAAGGCAAAAATAAGTCGTCTTTGCTTGGTAGTAGCTTGGCCACACCTTTACACGGCGCCAGGTTTCCTGACTGGCCCGGGAAGCCGGCTTTATGTTACCTCATGACGAGGGAGCATGGAGCCGGCTTCCCCGCCAATCAGGAAGCCGGACGTCGCATCATTACATTGCGCCTGGCTTCCTGATTGGCCAGAAAGCCGGCTCCATGCTTCTCGTCACAAAGTGACAAGAAGCATGTGGATGGCTTCCCTGCTAATCGGGAAGCCGGGTGGAGAATCTTTACACGCTTCCCGGCTAATCAGGAAGCCGGGTGGCAAGTCATTACATGCTGCTTGGCTTCCTGAATGGGGCTTCCGGTACTCCGTATTCGGTATCGGCGAGTACCGAAAAGAAAATATCGGTACTTGTACTCGATACTGAAATACTGGTATCGGTGCATCCCTAGTCCACATTTATTTCCATCCAGAGTTGCATTTATTTTTCACCAAGATCCTGTAGTGATGATGGGAGAGTAGGAGCACTGTGTAATGTCTTCTCCAGCACATCCCAAAAATTCTCAATGGGTGTAAAGGAGAACTAGGAGGTGAGTGCTTTTTACTCACCTCATAGTTCTAGCCGACCTGTGGCAATGAGACTGTCACAGGTCGGCTAGAACTATGAGGTGAGTAAAAAGAACTCACCTCATAGTTCTAGCCGACCTGTGGCAATGAGACTGTCACAGGTCGGCTAGAACTATGAGGTGAGTAAAAAGAACTCACCTCATAGTTCTAGCCGACCTGTGGCAATGAGACTGTCACAGGTCGGCTAGAACTATGAGGTGAGTAAAAAGAACTCACCTCATAGTTCTAGCCGACCTGTGGCAATGAGACTGTCACAGGTCGGCTAGAACTATGAGGTGAGTAAAAAGAACTCACCTCATAGTTCTAGCCGACCTGTGGCAATGAGACTGTCACAGGTCGGCTAGAACTATGAGGTGAGTAAAAAGCACTCACCTCCTAGTTCTCCTTTAAGTTCTGGACTCTGTGGTGGCCAATCCATGTGTGACAATGATGTCTCATGCTCCCTGAATCACTCTTTCACAATCTGAGCCCGATGAATCCTGGCCTTGGCACATTGGGCATATTCCAAGATGACATCAGGGAAGAAAAAATCCTTTGATGGAAAAACCTGGTCATTCAGTATATTCAGTTAGGCAGCTGACCTCATGTGTTGGGCACATAAGGTTGCTGAACAAGCCCCAGATCAGGTGGTGACTTTTTTATTTTTTGGCCCGGCAGTGTATATTTAAACATGTGCATTTGTCTAATTTTTGCATTGAGGCTTGCAGGGCGTTGGAACACAGGTCAGTGTTTCATGATTACAGTGCATAGGCTCCTGCAAAGGGCCCATTCACACAACATCTAGATCATCTCCAGACCAGACCAGATTGTTTCTGGACGCAAAATGCATCCTAATGTAATCTTATGCTATTTCTGACCTCAGTTCACACCAGCGCAGTCCATTCCAGACCGGAAAAATACTGCATGTCTCATTTTGTCTGGTCTGCAATGCACTGAAACTGCGGGCAGGTTCCCACCAATTTTTGGACCAGATCTGGTCCGGAAAATGGTGTGAACCTGCCCTAAACCTCAGGTCCATACCTCCGTACAGAGCTGGCTGGAGGAGGTAAGACTGACCTATGGAGGGGTGAGGGAGGAGAGATCCCCAGCGCATGCTCTAGAAGGTCTCATTTGCCGCCGTTGCAGATGTGACTTGTATTAAATAAATGTAAACAATAACAGACCTGGATGAGGAGGCTGTGTGGATGAAACCACGCACGACCACACTAAATTCAGACGATAATAGGATTCCCCTGAAAGATGCACCCTGTGATTCAGGTAAGGGGGTGTGGTGTGGGTTTAAGGGATGGTGTTTTTTTTATCATGTTTCTTGTTACACCCTAAATATGTGTGTAACCTGAAAAATGGTATAAAACATGGACTTGGCCACCCCTGAAGTTCTCATTATTAATCTGTTGAAGTCACTGGAGGAAAGGGCTTGTCTAACAGTCAACCTGAAGCTTTTGCAGGGGGTTAGTTAAGCCCCATTCAGTCCTGCGTGTATGATGTAGAGCATTGAGGAAAAGAAGGTTCAGGTCAGTTTTATTTTCATGCCTTGAGGTGTACTGAAAGTTAATTTAAATTGATTAGGCTTCCTCATGCACAAAGGATGCCATCAGCCGCTTACATTTCCAGCATAGTATGGAATTGGATTTCATGACCTCATGAGGATATACATCAAATATTTGGACAGATGACTGAAATCCAGGAATTTGATGAGCTGGGTGAATGTTTCTAATTTAGTTGTGTTTGCAATTTACATTTTTTTATTTTGTAAAGCATGAGTGACAATGAGTGAGAATTGGCGGTGTCCTCCTTGTCCTGGCTAATGTCTATCGTTTTCTTCTGTGCTTTTGTGCAGCCCGGATATCTGCTCTTGAGGACGAAGTAAAGAAAGGGAAGGATCTCTTGGCTCGGACGGAACAAGAGAAGAGACAGCTGCACGATCGATATGGTGCCCTGGAGAAGGTGACACTTAGAATTTGATCGGTCACCTTATTTCCTATCTTTTTTTAATCGTGTATGCTCATGTACAGTGAACAAGCGGGATGTGGCTCTTCTTTGGTTGGTGTTTCCACAGAGCATGGGCGGCTCCTAGCCGGCACTTGCATACACCCGGGCTATGGCAACCGATGTAGGATAGAGCAGTGAAGTTCCTCTGTGATTAAGCAAAGGAGCAGTTTGACAGCCATTCTCCACCCGGGAGATGCTGTCAATCAGCAGGGCAGGGGGGTTGGTCATGGCGGATAAACAGATTATGTAAGATACATGTAATGTACCATTGCATTTTGAGGCATTGATGACAACAGAACTGCCAAGTTTTACTATGAAGAGATGCAAGACAGCAGTTCTTCCAATGTCCTATAGTACAGGACATGAGCAGAGCCCAGGAGCAGCTTAGATCATGTAACTAGAACTTGAACCATTCCGGGTTCATTTATTAGAAGAGATTGGCAACATTGGAGGATCCTGAGAAACATCCCTATGATGTGTGCTCTCTCCCCTATTATTATTAATGCTGACTTGCAGGAATATTTCATTTGATTTGCTTGCTAACATTACTGCTGTTTCTCTAAATGTAGGAAAAGAACAACCTGGAGATTGACATGACATACAAGCTGAAAGCACTGCAGCAATGTGTGGAGAAGGAGGAAGCTGAGCACAAAACCACCAAGGCACGGCTGGCTGACAAGAACAAAATCTACCAGTCTATTGAGGAGACCAAGTCAGAAGCCATGAAAGGTAGATTCATTGTTGTACTCTTCCTTAGCATCCTTGCTTCATGAACCTAACAACTCTACAAGGGCAGGGCTTTTTTTTTTATAAACACCAGGTTTTAAATTCTATAGATTATTTTCCAGTGAGTGAGCCGTTCTGTGATATGTCCTTCTGTACTGACATTTTTATTGTATGATGTTCTTCTGGGCAGGGGTGTAATCAGCAGACCAGGAGAGATTCCTTTGTACCCCTTTACAAACTGTGGTCTGTGCGGTCAACCGATGCTTTATGCTCTTTTTAATTTTGGTTCTCTACATTATTCATAATAAGGTTGTTTCATGTTGTTATGCACTCTCAGGAGCTGGAAAACTGTGTGCACAGTCAGGCAGTTGACAATGTGCAAAAAGCAAAAATTTTGCCAGCACACTTACCAGCTAGCCTGCAAAAAAAAAAGACACTGTCTAACTATTAGGTTTTAGTGGCACAACATTTGCAAAATATGTGGAAGCTGCACTGCCTTGTCAAGGCCTCTCCGTGTAGCGTGGTCCTAACTCTAATCTATGAGAGCCTCCATCTTGGAGCATATATAGCAAAGGATGAATTGGGTGCAGGTATGCCTGGAGGTAGCCCATTCCTCCTTAAAGGCACAGGGACACACCAGAGGCCCCGCACATCACAGCGGCAGCCAAAGCCCCCCATGTGTCCTCAGTGGACACTGGAGGCAGTTGAAATGACAGTAACTGTCAGGCTTTGGATAACGTCAGAGCTCTGACACTTAAGTTGTAAATGTTAGTTTCGAACAAAGTTAAAAAATTAAACTAGATTAAAACCTGTGTTAATTTCATTTCAGATGGTAAAATTTGATGTTCAATTTAGCTTGTTAGAAATATTTTAATCACTGAATGAATGCCTGGTGATCGCTCCATGACAATCCTTGTTTAGGAACTTCCTGTTATGGGGTGACCACTGTCTGAAGGTTGTGGTCCGCCATTGCCACCCTGCTACATGTTCCACTAACGTCAGGCGACTGTGCCACCACACATTGCACAGGCATATTCTCCTGCTGCCACGGTCAGGAGGTCAGTCCAATGAAATTATGTACAGCTGACATGTAGACAGGAAGTGGCTAAAAGAGGCTAGAGGACAACAGCAGCAATGAGATGCCAAGAAGGATGAAAACAAAGTTGGGGTTTATAGCTACTTTACTAAAGGGGGGAAATCTAAATCGTAGATGAGGCTAAACAGTTATAATAATTGAAGATTGAATATTTAGATGTGTTCACATGCCCAATACTGACAGGTTCTCTTTAAACAGAAACTCTATGGTTCCTAGTAGTTAAATGTTTGTCCTTGAAAGGCCTTTTTATGTTGGGGAATGGTTGTAATACCATAAGTGTGACGCACAATGTGCCATCGGTCTTCATTTTCTTAAGTATAGCCATGGCAAGGACTGAAAAAGTTCATGTGAAGTTAGGGCTGGATTCTTCTTGTGAGCTATACACAGGGCTTAATCCGGCCTTCTCTGCTATGACTGGACCCCACACACACGACAGAACAAAGACACAAAGATCTAGTTATACCTGTGCCAAAGTAAACAGCACTCAGTCTGCAGGGTTCAGGCCCGACATCCTTATATAAAGCCACGCAGTCTTCACCCAGGAGACTCTTTGGATGGAATTCAGCTCAATTTGTTAAGTTCTCTGTTTATTTCTAGATTGTTTTAAAGCCTACCTTAATTAACCTTTTCACATCCCATCCCATCTTTCATTAAAAAAAAGTCTCCTGTGCAAAAATTATGTTTATGCACTGGCCCTTTCTGATTTAGGAGAGGTTCATTGGCATGCATTTCCCAGGGAATGTTGCCTAAAGTTCCCATTTACATGCATTTCACGGGGAGTGTTGCCTAAAGTTCCCATTTGCATGCACTTCCCAGGGAGCGTTGCCTAAAGTTCCCATTTACATGCATTTCACGCGGAGCGTTGCCTAAAGTTCCCATTTGCATGCACTTCCCAGGGAGTGTTGCCTAAGGTTCCCATTTACATGCACTTCCCAGGGAGTGTTGCCTAAAGTTCCCATTTACATGCATTTCCCATGGAGTGTTGCCTAAAGTTCCCATTTGCATGCACTTCCCAGGGAGTGTTGCCTAAGGTTCCCATTTACATGCACTTCCCAGGGAGTGTTGCCTAAAGTTCCCATTTACATGCATTTCCCATGGAGTGTTGCCTAAAGTTCCCATTTACATGCATTTCCCAGGGAGTGTTGCCTATAGTTCCCATTTACATGCACTTCCCAGGGAGTGTTGCCTAAAGTTCCCATTTACATGCATTTCCCAGGGAGTGTTGCCTATAGTTCCCATTTACATGCACTTCCCAGGGAGTGTTGCCTAAAGTTCCCATTTACATGCATTTCCCAGGGAGTGTTGCCTATAGTTCCCATTTACATGCATGTCCCAGGGAGTGTTGCCTAAAGTTCTAATTTGCATGCTTTTCCCGGGGAGCATTGCCTAAAGTTCCCTTTTTGGAATTGCTACCCCTATGTTGTCACGTCCATAGTGCTTCCAACTAGAGCTGCCAGACCTAGACTGATGGGGCTTAATAAATGGAAGCATAATTGTCCATGAGCTGACATTCTTGCTCTAAGAAATGTGAGATTTTCGTTAAATGTTAATGTTTACCCGAAGCCCTCGGCTGATAAAACGGTCTTTACCCAGCAACCCGTTTTGCTTTTAAAAACCTTTTTTGCATGTATTTGTTTGGGAGTACTGGTCTTCCCAGACCTCAGACGTGCTTGTAGGAACTCCAGCGGGAAGATATGCCTACAAGGAGCCTAAATATAAAAGGAACCAGCATGTGAGTTAACCCACCACCATCCACATATAAGTGGTGTATTCGGTTTTTGGTGGGCTTGCATTAAAACGTTGTTCTGCTGATAATTCAGCTTGTCGAGCTGTTCTGATAAACTCTTGGCTTCAATACAGAGTATTGAGTCAATGACTTGGAACGTGTATTTTGATGAAGAGAGTCAAGGATGAGGTCCTTTTCTGCATGCTTGTCCCAAGTCATTGTCCTAAAGTATTGAAACATACAAGTCAATATGAGAGCTGGGTAACTAGCTTTTTCAGAAAGAGAGGTCATCAATGGCAGGCTCCAGGTTTCCTTCATGACTGGCTTACTATAAGTAGGAAAAGGGGCCTCAGAGATGTTTTGTTTGCATCTCCATTGCCGTGCATAATAAAGCAGTTTAGATATTATATTCTAGGGCACACTGCATTTACAAAAAATGCAATCTATTGCATGGCGAATGGGTCTATGAATGAATAACATGGTTGTGTTAGTGGAGCCAAGCTTTAATGCTTTTCCTGGTTGGGGATATTCCAACATATAACACAGTCTGACTCCTGGAAACAATAAGTTTCTCTGACTCCTGAAAACAATTGGTTTCTCTGACAGATAAGGGTTTCAGAGCACTCATGCTTTTATGTGCAGCATCTGTAATAACTAATCACATCTGATTGGCATAAAGCACTAGTGACCAATGGGGGGGATTTCTATGTACCCGCAGACACGGAGAAGAAACTGCAAGAGGAACGCCTGTCCAAACAGAGGCTGGAGAACAACCTGCTGGAGGCAGAGAAGCAATGCTCCATGCTGGACTGTGACCTTAAACAAGCCAAACAGAAGATCAATGAGCTGGAGACCCTCAAGGACAAACTCACTGAGGATGTAAGTAATACAAAAACTAAGCATGAGACATTGCACAGATCTAGTCTATTGGAACCGGAAGGTTAGTTAAAAAAGTGGCTGAAGCATTGATGAAAATGACAATCTAGTAAATGGTAGAGTAGTATTAATATAATGTGTACGTTCTTACATCTATGTGTGTGCTTACAATGAGCCCACCTCTTGTTGAGTATATTCATGTCTCATTTTAAATGTATGTAGTTATTTTTATTCTCTCCTCCTCCTTAGGTTAAAAACCTAACATTAAAAACTGAGCAGGAGACGCAGAAGCGTAGCTTGACTCAGAACGACTTGAAGATGCAGCTGCAGCAGGTGAACAGCCTTAAGATGTCCGAGAAACAGCTTAAACAAGAGATCAACCACCTGACAGAGATCAGAGCGAGCCTCGAAAAACAGAACTCTGAGCTGCGCAAGTAAGTGACCCCGATCTTCTAGACATCATGGTGATGGTGGACCGATAATGAAACTTCAAGACTCTCAAAATGTCAGTTAGGGGAAGCAGTTTAGGAGTTCTCTATCCTTTTAACTGATTCCCCCATTGTATTTAAACTTATCAAAGCTGGAGCAGACCAATTCTGGAGCAGATTTGCACTGCAACCAATCGGCTTCTATCTCTCATTTTCAAATCTCAACTGAGCAATCTAAAGAGAGATGCTGATTGGTTGCAATGGGCAACTGCTCCAGTTTCTGTCCGCGCCAGTTTTGATAAATTCCCTCCAATATTATTTCACAAATGGGTGCTTTGGCGGTTGTCCATTACCCGGTCATGCTGTGCTTTCTGTTCAGATGGCCCAGCTGCAGCTCTTTGCTAGGAGGCATTTGATGTCATATTAATAATCAGGTCTGGACTGACTGGCTTGGGCTGCATAGCTAATTTATGTTCAATTGCATGAAATATTCTGGGATCAGGAACTTGGCTTTCATCACATGTATTTTAATAGAACTTTGGCAGGGAATATTTGCAGCAATGGGATTAAATAGTTGATTCCATGTGGATTGTGTAATGCCATCATTTAATCGCGTATAAACCTCAACCAGAAATTTGACTTATGCTGCATACTCTGCTTAGTGATTTCAGTGCCTCCTGCCTGTGTGTCGGGTACCTTAGCTTCTACTGTGTGTGTACCACCAATTTGAACATTACTTAACCCTTTTGCTGCCAAGGACTTTATTTTTTTGGTTTGTTTTTTGTAAACATTTATAATGCACATTTTAAGCCGCCAGGAGTCTGTTTAAAGGGGCTGGCTGCCACCGACTTGTGACATACATTGGTGGCAGAGAAAGGGTTACTAGAGAGAAGTGGCTGTGAGATGGTAGTCACAGCTGATATAGGCAGAATCTCAAGGTGCCCATACACTGTACGATTCTTGGCGGGTTAGTGGCCTGCTTGTTCGACAACTGGCGAACGGGCCTGTGTGCGCAAGGCGCACACTGCCCGTTTGCAGTCATCGGAAGCCCGCCCCTCACTGTGGTCATCGGAAGCCCGCCCCTCAGCGGGGCGGGCTTTTGATGATCGCAAGTACGATCTGCCTGTCCAAGATGGGCAGATCGTACAAGCTTTTAATAAGCTTACGACCATCGCAAGGTGTATGGGCACCTTCATGCACATCACAACTTGCCTAGCAGTCAGGTAATTCTCTGTTACATAGAGATGGGGAAGGTAATATAAGTTAAGAGCAGACGCAATGCTATGTGCTGGCCATAGGACTAGTGCCTATCTCGTATTCTGCTGACTGAAGCACACTTCCAAGCTCAGCCTATGGATTGGCCTAGAATTGGCAGATCCAGTCCTCACTGCAAACAGGTTATCCGCTCATCCAGCCCTAATATCGGCTACAAAGTACAGCTTTTCCTGAAATCACTGCTTATTATTATTGCTCAAGCCCTGAAGAAGGAGGAGTCTAATCCCCCCCCAAAACCTGTTGACAGTATCTCACATAACCATTTAAATAAACAACCTAAATGAACCTTTCAGCGAAATGACCATTTTTTAAGAGGCGCTCCTAACCACATATCCAAGCTGATTGTCACAAATAACCTGTGACATTGGCAGGAAAGAATGGATAAATACATTAGTGGCAGGGAAAATGGCTTGGGAGGAAAGTAAAAGAGAGAGAGCTCTGAATTTCTTAAAGCTGGTCATACACCTATAGATTATCTGCAGATTTCTATGGTCAGATGGAAAAAGTGCAACAGATTCCTCCATCTACGCTAAACTGTGTGGAAGGAGGAATCTCCCACTGGGCCAAGTTTCAGTATCTTGCTAGTTGCCCCGCTGGCTGCTAAAATACCTGAACAATCTGATTGGATGCAGGCATTGTTCAGGTATTTTGAGAGCCAACAGGGCCGACTAGCAAGATACTGAAGCTTGGCCCAGTGGAAAATTCCTCCGTCCACACAGTTTTTGCAATCCTATAGGTGTATGGCCAGCTTTAGGAAGCCATAATTAGCCCATTACACTTGATGCTTGATCTAAGGATTGGGTCATTGGAATTTATCAACAAAAGGGTCCATGATGAGCTGATTATCTCTGCTACATGAATATGTTCTTAGTTTTGAAGGTTAGAAGCCATGACAGGTTCACTTTAAATAGATAGCTAAAAGATTGTATGCCAAAATTCTCCGGAAGCCACATTGCATTAAAAAGATATACAGGCTGTTCCAGGAGCAATAAGGATGCAAGGATGATGGTCGCTGATTTGCACTTTTAATTTTTCTTTATTATAGAGAACGACAAGATGCAGACGGTCAAATGAAGGAACTCCAAGACCAGCTGGAGGCAGAGCAGTATTTCTCTGTAAGCATTCTATTTTGTCAAAACCACCAACCTATTTTTATCTGTGAGATGTGCAAAGATACTTAAAAGAGAACTATGGGGTAAGTGTTTTTCCTCATCGTTCCCTTAAGGGTCACGGGAGGACATATACTAGCGTCCTACCGTGACCCAAAGCTCAGTATATAGCTAGCTACAGCGGTATACTGAGACCGCCACAGCCAGGACAGAGCCCCACAATGCTGTCGAGATCCACCTAGCTGCGTGAATGACAGCTGGCTCTGCCTATCTAGAGGCAGAGCCAGCTGTACCCGCCCCTTCCTGCATCCGTTCCTCCAGCGCTGGAGGATCGGAGAGGGGAGGGGGCAATCCCTGCAGAGAGCGGTGACTGACAGTCACCACTCTCTGCAGGGAGATGATCGAGAAGTGAGCGAGCGACGCTATGTGTTGGCTCACTTCCCGATGTATTGAGCCGTATGTGACAGTTTCTCGGCTTGAACTATGAGGCTGAGTGCTTAAGTGTCTAGCTGTTACCAACCTTCCACCATAATTCCAACATTTTGGGAGTGGTTGGCTGGCCCGCTACACCTTCTGTGTTCTGAATAGTTGACTTATAGATTGGTATGTCTTTCCTGGTCTATCATGCAGAAAATTCTGTGCTTATATATGAAAGTGTGCCAATAAGATTACCTCTTCATTTAATGACTGCGAGAGCTGAAGATACAGGTTCACACAGGTGCACGGTGGCAAAAGAAAGCAAAATGAACAAAGCTTTCCTTGTCAGCTTTAGGAATTTTGACTGGCCTGGAATTCAGGGTTTACAGTAAGGCGTTAATAGAAACTAGCATGAAACGTTTTGTAGCAGCTAAAGCGGCTCCTCTAGATACCATAGTCTAGATACCACAGCCTATGTCAATTCTAAACAAGCAAGCAAAAAAATGAGCTTAACGTAATGCAGTTTTTTATTACACATTCATTTTGTCCTAGTTATTACTCTACTAAAACGAATGGTGCCGAGACTTTAACAGTCAACTTCACCAATGTCCTTGTAGAAGACTTTTATTCAGGACAAATGCATGAACCAATGCATGAAGCCATTGCTGCAGCATCTCTTACTCAACATATCAACTTTATTCTGAGCCGCTTCTTTCTATATATTATGGAGAATTCAGCAAGGGATGGATGACAACAAGGCTTGTGATAGAGTGAGGAGAAATATTCCTGTAGGGTCCATGGACAGTTTAACAAGTCAGTGGTTGAGCCAGTTTATCAGCCTAAGGGTCAAGAGCCCATGTGGGACCCAACAATACATTTTTGAGCCCAAAGTTATAGTCATTTGATAGTCTTCTGTGTAGGAACAAATATTTTTAGGATCTAACTACAGTAGTATACACATTATATATCAACGTGTTCTAATTACGAACTGGAGTTACTTCTCCTAAGTCAACATCAGGCCTGCCCTGAAAATCTGATTGACAGCAGTGGTGAAATAACTGCAGTTCTTAGTAACAACATGGTGATGCATAAGGCCCATGGCAGATGTTGCATTAAACATATGCAGTTGGTGAGGGTGCTCTCCGCACACCTTTCAGCAGTCCCGGCCAATAAACAAAAATGGTGCTTGTAGTAACTACCACGGATGGCACCGTGCAAAATACAAAGTAGAAAAAACAGGGTCCCTTCTTCAAGGCAAAAGATGTGACCAAATGTCACCTCTTTTGTGTGGGTCACATCTTTTGCCTTGAAGAAGGGACCCTGTGTGGCCCCGAAACGTCGGCTCTTTTTGATTATCATGACACAATTGTCCAATAAAAAGGACTTATTCATTTAAATTATTTTGAGTGCTGGTGACCTATATTTTTATTACTTTGCATTAAACATATGAACATTTTTGAGAAACGTTTTTGTTTTCTTTTAAAGCCCTTAATAGATATGATCTTCATATTGGGTTTAGATATTTTACCCAATTTCTATGTTTGATCGAACATTTTACACTGACAATTATCATTTTCCATTTTGCGCCTTTAAAGACCCTGTACAAGACGCAGGTGCGGGAATTAAAGGAGGAGTGTGAGGAGAAGGTGAAGCTGTGTAAGGACTTGCAGCAGAAGGTCCAGGAGCTCCAGGATGAAAGGTGAGATATCTCATTAATGTTTCAGGATTCAAGTGACCAATCTGATCAGCGCTGAAGTGAGATGTGTGTGCTCAATGCCGGTTGGCAGCAGATTGCAGGCTTTCAATATTTCAACAATGTGTATGTTTTGTTCTTTGAATGTGCTCCAAAAAATTGTAATCCAAAATAAATATCTCATCAAAAAGTTACAGTCCATAAATATGGGCTACCAATCTAATATATCTTTTTTTAAAAGCACTGTGCCAGTAAATATGCAGTCCACTCTTCAGAAGTGCACAGGTGTATCCTCTTAAAGGAGAACTATGGGGTCAGGGCTTTTCCCCATAGTTCTCCTTAGGGTAACGGGAGGACACAAACTAGCATCCTCCCGTCACCCTAAGCTCAGTATACCGCGAGCTACAGCTCGCGGTATACTGAGACGCCGCAGGCGGAACGGATCCCGACATCGATATCGAGATCCGTCCAGCTGCGTGAGTGACAGCTGGCTCTGCCTATCTAGAGGCAGAGCCAGCTGTACCCGCCCCCTCCCCTGTCCGTTCCGCCAGTCAGCGCTGGTGGATCGGAGAGGGGGGGAATCCAGCCCCTCCCCTGTCACGGCAGAGAGCCGTGACAGGATCGAGAAGTAAGCGAACGCCGGTATGTGCTTGCTCACTTCCCGGTCTACTGAGCCGACCTGTGACAGTCTCATTGTCACAGGTCGGCTAGAACTATGAGGTGAGTGAAAAGCACTCACCTCGTAGTTCTCATTTAATGCCATTCAGTGCTGATCCCCCTGTGGAAAATTAGTTTTCCAGATTGAAGTGACCTCTTAGTAGAAATAAAGAGGTCAGACATTGCTTGATGTTACATTCCAGTATCCAAACGACCAGACCATTATCATCTTGTAAGTATAGCTTTCACCATGCATACATCATACAGAGGCAAACAGCGAGGAATCCATAGTGGGAAATTGTATAGATTTATTAAAATACATAAGAGAAATGGAAAATTCTACAAAGATAAGTCAGCCCACCACTTAGGTAAAGATCCTTAGGATGCCACCCCACCCATTCTCAGCTCCAGAGTGTACGGCAGCCCCGCCATATGTGCTAACATCATGATGCTTGACCCTACCCAGCGCATTTTTTCATCAGGATTGCTGGTGATGAAACATGTTGGGTGTCAGCGTGTCAGTTTATTTATTCCCATCTGTGCCTTCCTGTCCTGAATGCCCCAGTTCTCTTATTTCATACCATGCCTTAAAGGAGAACTATGAGATGAGTGATTTTCACTCATCGTTAGAGCCGACGTGTGACAATGAGACAGTCACACATCGACTCTATAGATCGGGGAGAGAACACATACCCAGTACACCTAAAAAACTATTCACGACAGGAGGGTTAGGAGGGCTTACAATCTAGAAGGAAGGGCAAGTCATACAAAAGCCATTAATTGTGAGGGATGAGCTGATGGAGGAATTAAAAGTTCAGTTTGTAGGTAGAGGCGGGATAGGTTTCCCAGATAAGATGAGTGTTCAAGGATTGCCTAAAGTCAGACAGAGTGAAAGATAGGTAGGAAGATTTGGTTAGGGAGTTCCAGTGGATTGGAGAGTCTCTGGAGAAGTCCTAGAGGCGAGCATAGGAGGGGGTGACAAGGGAGCTATAGAGAATACAAGGTTTTGGGAGGAAAGGAAAGGACGGTTTGGGTGATATTTAGAAAAACACTGTTGCTGAAGTAGCCAGAAGTTATTCTGAATTGTATTGGTTGTGGTAGGGGGAGCCAGTGGTGGGATTGACAGAGAGGGACAGTGGACATCGAGTGGTCGCTCGCTCACTTCTTGATCATCTCCCTGCAGAGAGCAGTGACTGTCCCTCACAGCTCCCCGCAGGGATTCCCCCCCTCCCCTCGCCGATCCTCCAGCGCTGAAACGGATGGAGGAGGGGGTGGGCACAGCTGGTTTTGCCTCTAGATAGGCAGAGCCTGCTGCCAATCAGCCATCTTGGGTGGATCTCGACAGCATTGTGGGGATCTGTCCCGGCTGCGGCACTCATTATATAGCGATCTACAGCCCGCTATATACTGAGCTTTGGGTCACAGGAAGTTAGTATGTGTCCTCCGGTGACCCTAAAGAGAACTATGGGATAAAAAGGTTACTCCATAGTTCTCTTTGAAGTCGCTGACCTTAAATATACAGATCGGGACTTTTCTCTTCACCTGCTGAAGTTTTGTTTCTGAAAAGAATTGAAGCCAGATAAGTAAGGCAGCTAGGTTTTTCACAAGCAATAGCAGGCCAAGCATGATTCCCATAGCATTGGTATGGGGCTACGTGCTTCATCAGCCACCTATAAAAGACTGTTTTATTTTGCAGAGATTCACTGGCAGCTCAGCTGGAGATTACTCTGACCAAGGCAGACTCTGAGCAGTTGGCCCGCTCCATTGCTGAGGAGCAATACTCTGACCTGGAGAAGGAGAAGATCATGAAAGAGCTGGAGATCAAGGAAATGATGGCTCGCCACAAACAGGAGCTCGCTGAGAAATACGCTACTATAAGCTCTGTACGTACATGGGGATGGGCTAAGGTGTTGTGTGTGTGCAGGCATTTAGGTTTCATATCATGGTTATATGTATTTTGTAAAAAAAAAAAGTACAGTTTACCATAAGAATAGGATCTGCCAGTATCTTAGAATGTCAGTCTAAAATGTTCTTTCCAACATGGGAATTATGTAAAATATCTACATTCAAAAACAACATAGAATTCTCTGGCTACTGCTATGAGAATCTACACAGTGTTTCTGCCAAATTTAGGTTGAGCAACCCCATACAGTACCAATATGTCCGGTCTGGGTGGATGTATGTGTGCTTTGGAAGCTGTTGCCCTTTTAATAAGGGAGTCTTTTTCCTAATGTTGCATTCTTCATAGTTTGAAGGAAACATGGTGAGTGTTAAAGACCCCCTTATGAAGACTGGCAACTAAAGGGAAATGATCCAATCACCGGGGCCCCAAAGGTCCCAGTGATTGGATCCACAACCATCGTAACCAGAACCATTAGGCATGTGTCGTTTAACCTTTTAATTGAAGCCTGCACAGTTTGCTGCCACTGATTGACATTACCAGTTTACTAATTACTGCTCATATGACCGGATGTGTGGCATAAATAAGTAAGAATAATAATACAAAGAAAATAGTCTTCTTTAAACTACAAAATTCATAAATGGCAGCCCACATTCCGTGGCTTAATAGTGAAGGTTTCCCATTTTCCTAGGTTTGTTAAATGTTTACCTCCTACTTTTGTTGAGAAAATAACAATCCCCTCTGGGTGATCTATATACATTGCAAGGAGGTTACCAAAGTTTGCTTCAGAGTTCTGCCCAAGAAATTTTATTTTGGTTTACCGCATCCTTTTCGGATTTACATCTGAATGGAAGGTTCTGCCTTTATTATACCCACCTGGTAAAATCACATTGTTCTGATGAGTAAAGCTGCAGCTTTTTTAGACCATCTTTAGCAGGGTTGCCCAAAAGGTTGATCGCGATCTACCAGTCGATCGCAAAGCTATTTCTGGTAGATAGCAAGTTGGAATCAGCTGCTCCGTTTATCTGGGAGCTCAGCTGCTGGTGGCCGGGTGCAGTTTGCTGTGTTGGCCAGCAAGTGGCGCTGACGGTGGAAGCTGTGGCTCAGCATGCAGCTACTCTGGGGGGACTGTGCCCTCACCTACATACCATGCCCCCACCTAACATGACTGTGCCCTCACCTACAGACCATGCCCCCACCTAACAGGACTGTGCCCTCACTTACAGACTGAGATTAGGAGCGTTAGTTTTTTTTTTTAATTATAGGTAATAGGTTTTATTTTACCATTACAGGTAATAGTCCCATAGTTTACCCCCTCTGATAAGAGTGCTAGGTCTAACTAAGGGCCCATTCATAATAGTACAGTGTGTTCATCGCAATCACTCCTACCCTGTGTTTTGTTGTATGAGGTGCGTTGCGGTGCCATTCGTTGGTAGATTTCATTGAGCTGGTCATATAAAAAGTAGATCTTAACACAGAAAATTGTGGGCGCCCCTGATCTTTAGGTAGTATCCCATCAAAAATGAAATTCCTGTTGCAGGGGATGCATGACATTTTCATTGTATCGTAGTGCAGACTTGAGAGAACAATCTGTGGGCCAATCACAGAAGCAGGAAATTACATTTCTGGAGGTGTCCCATACACCTAGGGTATACAGAACGCCTGCAGGTTGCCATATTGCATTGCATTTTGGTCTCCTTTAGACCATTATAGCCGCTGCAGATTGTAATTGAAAGGTAATTTTTAATAACCATAAATTGCAAAAGGATTTGTGTAGCAATTTTAAATGCTATATTCATTTTTTTATGAAAGTGGCGTTTTCCTTTATCCAAAGCTTTTTTATTTTCTGTCTACAGCTTGAAGATGCTAACAAGACACTAACTACTGATGTGGCCAACCTGGCTAATGAGAAGGAGGATCTGAACAATAAACTGAAGGAGGCCCACGAAGGTAAGTGTAATCGATTGCTTTATATCCAGTCTTTAACCGCTTGTCATCCTCCCGTTGTACATGGACGGACGGCATGCTCCCTCCAGCGGGTGGCCGCAAATTTACGGCTTTTTTTTCCTGCTCGGACGCGCCCCCTAGCGCGCGATTGAGCAGAACACATTGACAAGTGTAAACAGCCGATAATGGCTGTTACATATACCATGGTTCGGGCGGCTCTAAATGTCAGTCAAAGTACCACCTCGCTGAATACTGAAAAATGGCCTGGACAGGACCCCGGTCCTCAACACCCCGTTCTTCAAGACGTTAAAGTAAACCTGTACTGAGATAAATAGCGAGGCTGCTATTGCAGACCTCCTCCCAAAAATGCTAGTCGCCTGGTTGTCTGATTTCTGTCTGTGCATGCAAAACGAGAAAGCAAAGACAAACTTCCTAAACTGTTTTTGGTCACGGAGTTCAAACGTCCTGAAGCAATTGAATCAGCATGACTGTCAGACAGCTAGTTTGCTCAAATAGAGAGCCCAACAATTGCAGCCCCTATACTTCCACAATGCAGGTCCCCTTTTAACTGCAGCTTCTAATAAAGGAGTCCACTTGTTCTGGTAAAGTGGGGCTCCTGTTGCAATATGCTGCCGACTTTGCCTGCTGCACCAGTAAATAGCAGGTCCAGTATACGTCCATGCATGGAGTGTCCAGATACCCCTTTAAAGCCTGCTGGTAGTGAAGTAGAGCTGTGAAAAGGAGGGGAGGGGAGGTGGACATTATGTCACGGTTAAGGCTGCTTTAGTTGCGTTGGCCTTTGTTCTTTTTTTTTTTTTGCAAGTTACCATGAAACACCGAGGTGAGGTTGTGTGATTTTTTTTTTTTGCACACAAATGATATACGTGATTTTATATCTCTGGAGCTTTTTCTCTCTTTTCTCCAACTAGAAGAACATAGCTGCAGCCTATATATAATTCTTCAATAGTCTAGATCAGTGCTAGGCAACCTCGCTATGCCAGCTGTGATGAAACTGCAAATCCCATCGTGCTTGTGGCCATCAGTACATCATGGGATTTGTATTTTTACCACAGCTGGAGTGCCGAGGCTGCCTACATCTGGTCTAGTCTCTTAGAACCCCCATGATAATTGGATCATGCCTATGTACAGTATCTACCCTTCAAAATACACTATAACCTGTGACAGGCACCTTAATCTTGTCTATTTCTATAACAGGGATAGATTATTACACATTTATAAAAAGTAAATATTTCTTCTTTTCTTACATTGCGACTTGTTTTCTTTTTTACAGAGATTCAAGATCTGAAAGAGCAAGAAAGCGGCATCATAATCATTAAAACACAGTTTGAGAAGCAGCTGCTGACTGAGAGGACTCTGAAGACTCAGGTACTGTGCCAGTCATTTGGGGTCTTATATTGAGGTTCCAGGTCCACGAGGTTTACTCCCCAGATCTATCACTCCTATTTCTAGGTGTACTTGTGTTTACAAGTGCCTGGCTGTAGAAAATCGGGCTAAACAACCCCACGATACACACATTTATGCAGCTAGACTGAATGCACCTAGATACTGCTCAACATCTGGGAAAAGAAAACAGAGGGGGCGCCTTTCCTGGTGCAGATCAACTTTATTTTCAATAGTCATAAATAAACCGAAAGATACTCACAGACATAGATAAAAAACAGCCATATAATGTAAGCTGACAGCAGATGGACATCCACTGAGGGGATCCAGTGTGCAGATGACGTTGACGCGTTTCTGGGGCACGCCCCCTTCGTCAGAACACTGCTCAACATCTAGATGTGCATTCAGCCATTGGAAATGAGCTCCAAGCATATCTCGTCGCATGTATTTTGACCCCTTGTGCATGAGACCTAATAGTGAAAAATTATTTTGAACTGATATATGACTGCGATTCGTGCTTCCCTGACTCTGACCTCTTCTCGGCAGGCTGTGAACAAACTGGCTGAGATCATGAACAGAAAAATTCCCTCCAAAGGTGGAGCTGACACAGACGTTCGTAGAAAGGACAAGGAGAATAGGAAGCTGCAGCTGGATCTGAAATCAGAGAGGGAGAAACTCAATCGTCTCGTCTTCAAGTATCAGAAGGAGCTGAACGAGATGCAGGCGGTAAGTCATCGTGCAATTTGTAGATGACATTACATAGCAGATTGTGCTTGTTAAAGGAAATATATACACTCTTAAGGTGGCCATACACCTTACAACCATCGCAAGACTTTCGTTGTGCGATGGTTGTAAGGTAATTACAAAAACGTACGATCTGCCCATCTTGGACAAGCAGATCGTACTTGCGATCATCGCAAGGCTGCCCCGCTCAGGGGCGGGCTTCCGATGGCTGCAATGCTAAACGGGCAGTGTGCGCTTGCGCACACCGGCCCATGCGGCATTTGTCTTACGAGCAGGCCACAAACCCACCGAAAATCGGACGATTTTTGGCTGGTTTTCAAACATGCTCGAAAGACGTGCGACCGTACAGTAGAAACGCCTTCCATACACCTGACGATTATGGTACGATCGCGGGATTACCCGCGATTATCGTACGATAATCGGCAGGTGTATGGGCACCTTTAGGAGGAGGAGTTAATCTTTTTATAAACCCCATTGGATTTCCCAAAATGTCCCCATACTTCCTTCTACAGGCTATTGAAATCCTCATTAATATCAGTCATATTAAGTGCCGGTATAAGTTTAAAAGATATCAACAGCATGGTTATATTTACATATGAATATCTAGGAACAGAGCAGCTAAAGGGAAATCCTTTTATTATATGTAAAAACTAGAGGTACACCAAAATGAAAATGTAAAAACTGAAATGAAAAACAATGTCAGGCCGAAATGTTTTTTATTAGAACTTTTTCAAATTTTTATTTTTATTCATTTTTATTAAATATTTTTATTTTTTACTTTTAGGGGCTTCAGGGACATATTAGGGGTCTAAACAGACCCCTGATATTTCCCTTTTAAAATAGAAAAAGGGATTCAGGACACAAAGTCCTCTATCTCTTTTTCTGTATCCCCTGTTATCAATGAACAGGAATCCTCTATACGGAGTATTCCTCTTCATTCATAACATGAGGACAGAGTGTGTCTACTATAACCACAATCATGAATGAACAGGAGGAGATGTAGATCACTTCCATTTCATTCATAATTGAGGAAAAAGTAACCATACTATGTCCTCAATTATTTACAAACACTCGGCGATCACTGACCACTGAGTGTTTGTACTTGCTCTCCTTCCTAACAGCTGTCACAGTAGGCTGAGCGACCACACCGCTCTCCTCTGATCTGTGCGGGAAGGAGAGGCGCTGGCCGCTCACAACGATCTCCTCCCGCAGCGCTCGGCCACCTGTGACAGTTTCTCTCCTCCCCGCTGGAACACAGAGCAGCGCCACAGCGCGGGAGGAGAGGAAGAATGGATGCACCGCTGTATCGGCCAGAAAATGGTACTTTCGGAATTTAGCCAAAAGTGCCATTTTCGGCCGATATATCGGTGCTTCCCTAGTAAAAACAGTAAATCATGAAAACAAAAACTATCTACAACTAGTGAATTGTTTGCTTTTTTGTGCGGTCAAGACATGAAATGGAGGTACAGTTACTGACAATTAGATAAGCCCAGGCTTAACATTACTGATGATATTGCCCATGTCATCCGACACTTCCGGTCCATTTCTCCACTTTAATTTCAGGTTTAGTAATGCAGAGAATGCGGTTTAATTTTCTTTAAAGTCACACACTCAGGAGTTTAATCTTAAAATAGCATTTAAGTACCCTAACTTTTATCAAAAATATATCTTGTGTATCACTTGGCTGTAGATCCTAAAATCATCTCTGAATTGGTGCTGACACTGTCCTTCCTTCTGGGGTGTGGCTACTTTGGTGTCAGCACCAATTCAGAGATGATGTGAGGATCTACAGCCGAGTGATACACAAATAAGATACATTTTTGTTAATAGTTCAGGTATTTGAATGTATTTTTAAGCTTTAACTCCTGAGTTTAGTGTCACTTTAAAATACAGAGGGGATAACGAGCACCTTGAATAGGTGCCGAATCTACATCTGAATATAGAAGGAAGTAGCAGAATTAGGGAGCCAGTATCTATGAATTAGGGGGTCTAGGGGTCTAGGTGCAAGATAAGTCCCAAGCTGTAATTTCTTTTATATTTCTTAGCATAGAGACAACTGGTCTTTTTTGGGTGAGGGATGTTAAAGTTGATGAAATCCTAAAGTTGATGTTCGCTATCTAGGTGCTAGCTGTATTCCACATTACTGATAAAAGAAATAAAAAATCACCATTAACTTCTAATTTCTTTGTCAGTGCCTCACTTGCATCTGTGCATTCTTTTTCCTGCAGCAAATAGCAGACGAGAGCCAGGTGCGCATTGAGCTGCAGATGGCGCTAGACAGCAAGGACAGCGACATTGAGCAGCTCCGGTCACAGCTGCAATCAATCCACATTGGCATGGACAGCACAAGTATTGGCAGCGGACATGGTGACATCGATAATGATGATGGCTTCCCAGGTAAGGCTCTGCCCTGTTTACTGATATGACGGTCTAGGATGCATTTTGTAATTTTAAATATCAGTCCATCCAAAAGTGATATTTCAATAGGTAGATGTTGGAGAGTTGGCAAGGGTTTTGCAATGAGTTCTTGGGTCTGCACCCCTGCTATGGGGTCCAACTCTCCCTATTGGATTTTTTATATTATGGAGAATTCTGCAGGAAAGCTGGAACGCACAAAGCTGGGTGGAAACCCCAGACTCCCAGGTAGACAGGAACAGAGTCGGGAGTTACAGCAGGGAGATATCACTGTCGAAGTATTAAAGACATATATGAAAGGCAGGAACTGGTGCAGCCCACCTGACACCACCTATAAATAAAATATCACTTTTTGGGTAGACTAACCCTGAACACTTTTTTTTTTTTAAACTGAACTCCGAGCAGAATTTCAATAAATATGGTCCTCTTTTTTTCATACAGTACTGCAGCAACTGTGAAGTCAGAAACATGCCTAATAAGAGCTCAGTGTCCCCTATTTCCTCTTTGTAAGACTGGTGGCTGCTGCACCTGCTCCTTACTTGGGCCACCATGCTTGTAATATCCCTTCTGTAGTTCTTTTGCTCAAGTTTTTCTTACTAGTGGGGAGAGATGTAATTACGCCACCGCTGGCTGTAAAGGGGGGACACTAGCATCTTCAAATCCCAGTCTGTCCCACCATTAACAGATTTTAATTGACAGGCCAGAATACTCCTGGTTTGTCCCTCCCATCATGACCTCATACTTGATTGACAGGCCAGAAGACTCCTGGTTTACCCCTCCTACCATGACCTCATACTTGATTGACAGGCCAGAAGACTCCTCGTTTGCCCCTCCTACCATGACCTCATACTTGATTGACAGGCCAGGAGACTCCTGTTTTGTCCCTCCCACCATGACCTTATACTTGATTGACAGTCCAGAAAAGTATGTCAAGCCCAATTAGTCCCTGCTAGAAGTGATTGCCAGTCTCCTTGTAAGCTCCCCTTCTCAAAGCCACATGCATTGCATGATGGAAATAGTAGTTTATTACATCAGCCTTGCATAGTGACAGGAAGTAATGTTCATCTCTCTAATACCTCTTCCTGTTGCTGTGACATGTCTTCATTTTTTAATGCAAAACAATGAAGTCACTGACTTTTTACAAGATCATTTCCTAAGAAACGAGGTTGGTTTGAACCATAAAATGTTCACGTTTGCAGTGTGTTTATTGACACGGAAGTAACCTGCCCGGAGTTCAGCTTTAAGTCCTTCAATATCAGTGATAAAAGGGATAGCATAGGAAGGTGGTTTCCAAGCAGTGTGTAGTGTGCGCACACCTTCTGAAGAATAAAAGCTGTCAATTCTGGTTAAGAGAATATATAACTCATTGTAATATAAACATTAAATGATGCTGAATAAAATTGGTAAAACAAAAAATACCTTTGTCAATGCACATGTAATAATAATTATCTTGGTTTCCTATATAAACCAGACTGTGCTTTTCACTTGTACTGGAAAAATGAACTATAGACTCTGTGCTGTGAGCGGCAGTTCTTCCCGCACTCATCCAGGTGTACATCATTTCGGTACAATGCACATCAAACCCCCATTCACATCTGTGTGCGCCTCCGCTCAGCAAACACGTGTCACGATGTAATAAGTGCTGCGGTAACATTCATTATTAACGGCACCCCAAAGCTGCACATGTGCTCTCACATGTGTAAAATCGAAACACACGGTAACAAAGTACCATGCATTTTGGTGCAGCGCGTTTGGGGGGGGGAGGGGGAAGAATGTGAAGTGACTTTTTGGTGTGATTTATCATGCATATGGCAACCCATTGAAATGAATAGGCTGCTCTATACATGACACATGAAAACGCACATATTGTTGTGAAAAGGGGCTAAAAAGGAATACCATGTTACAATGCCATACCATAAGTGTGTATGAGAAAGTTAGTGGCAAGTCACAAAGCAGAATACTTATGTGAGAACCTCAGATGGGGCTGCCATTTTTTTTTCTTCACATACTAGTTTAGTGGCAGTGAAGTGGAACTTGTTGAGTTTCATTGCAAGTGAGGTTACTGTTCCAGAACTTGCATACAGACAATGGTGGCCTCCATCAGATGTTGCTTTGTGACAGATTTATTTCCCCCCTTATATTAGTGGCTAATGTACTTTTTCAAACCCATTTCCTTTAGTGCTCCTTAGTTATAGAAAACTGATGGTAATATTTAAAGTGACACTAACCTCAGGAGTTCAAGCTTAAAAATACATTCAAGTACCTTAACTGTTAACAAACATGTATCTTATTTGTGTATCACTCGGCTGTAGATCCTCCAATCATCTCTGAATTGGTGCTGACACTGTCCTTCCTTCTGGAGGGGGGCTACTTTTGTTCCCCATGGTCCCTGTGTGTGTTGTAAAGTAGTCACTGCTCCAAGTTCACTCCTGTGATGGACTAAAAGCTCAATACAAATTAGTAAACCAAGCGTGAGATGATTCAGGGATGATTTGAGGATCTACAGACAAGTGATGCACATTCAAAGTATAGTTTTGTTATTAGTTCGGGTACTTGAATGTATTTTTAAGATTGAACTCCTGAGTTTATTGCCGCATAATGTCAAACGTAAGAGTTAGAAGCTTTCAGGACTCTGATTCTTGCCAGAAATGTTGAGATGCTCACTTTGTATTTATGACTTGTTTGATGTAACTTTCTTTCTCCTCCCTTTCTTTTCTTACGTCCTGTATTTCTAACTTCTCCTCTGCACTTCTTCCTCCGGTTCTGTGCCGGCTTCTCAGTGCACATCACTCAGTCCTGTACTACGGAGTCCATGTCATTCACCTACCAACGTTCCTCAACCTCTGTCCGCATTGGCACTAGACCCTCCCGTTCTCGCTTGCTTTTCAACTCTGATTCTGATTGCGACTCAGAGGAGGAGCCCATCCCTTGTGCACAAGCCCCTTCAGATTCCGATAGCGATGACAACGAAGGTGACATCGCTGTGCAACACTCCGCTGCACCTTGTGGCCCCCATAACACTCTGCTGCACTGTGTGAACTTTTCTTCGTTCAGATCTAACACTTTTTCTTTGCATCTTGCTGGTGTGAAATCAGCATGCCATGAATACTGACTTGCATGTATTTTCTACAGTGGCTGGAACCCTTTTCTTCAATTTAAAGTGTACATGACATGGCAACCATTCTCATGGTCAGGGCCAGTCATTAGTATTGCCTAATTCACAGAGACATCCACATGGATGTTCCATGTTGTATGCAATGTGTGTGGACCTCATTCTGATGAGAGTTGTACTTCACAAAATGGCACTGCATGTGGCTTGGGGGTTATCTACACAATTGATGTGGCTCTAGATGGACATTTTAAAACTGGTCAGTATGAAAATCATTAGATCAGAATATGCTAAAAATGTAATCAGCATTTGGGGAACAAAATTTAAGTTTGTGGTGCTTGACAATTTCCAGTCAGACTGCAGCCAACAGTTGACGCCTTTTGGAATCTGATTGGCTGCTGACCACAAAAAATCCAGTCGCCCTTCCTTTTTCAATTTTTAGGCACTCTAAGTGTGCATGGCCTTGTCCAAATCATTGCCTCATATCTCATTGATTAATATTTCTTCCATTATATTATTGATTTCCAACGATCTGCCTTCTTTTGACATGTTACAATCCATACCAATCTACTTAATATTAAAAAGTCAGGTTACTTTTATGTGCTAGCGCTTGTTTTGTATTCCAGTACAGGTTACTTCGCTCTATAAAAAGGGCTAGTAGGATACAACAGACACTTCCAGTCTTCTGTCCCTGTGACTAATTCTGTGTCCTGCTTGTACAAGCCTCTGATCATTAAGTGATATGCATGTGGTTTGTTGCTTTTTCTTTGTGTGTGTTTTTTAGTTTCAGCTTTAAACATTGGGAAGGTTATCGTTTTATTGTCTGTTAGACACTGTCAATGAGTAGTCACTTTCATGGGGGGAATCGGTCACTAAATCTAGTCATAGATGGGTATGGTTTGGGCACGTGGTGACAATGACAATTTTCCACCTGGACTTGCATATTTAGTAACAATACCACATGCCTCATTTACATGAAAAATATGTCTAAGGGCTCAAGCACACAAGCCGCCGGGGGGCTATATAACGTTAATTTGGGCAGGTGCCGCATATAGCCGCCTTTAGAAATCAGCAGGTGTATGCCGGACTTGCATAAGCACACGCATGGCAGACATACAACCCTAAATGCAAGCAATCTGTATTCAGGATTGTACATCTGTATGCATTCCTGTGTTCATGCAAGTCTGGCATATACCCACATGCGGCCATGGATTTGTAAGGGTGGCAATTGTGGCTCCTGGATGGGAAAATACGCTCAGATTTACAATGTACAGCCCCAGGGTCTGTGTGCATTAACCCTAAACCTTTGGGGACTTTTCAGGTGCTACAGTGACCAAAACAACAAATTGACCAGATTAGTTCTTGATTACAAATGATTATCTGAAAACATCTACATAACATTAAAATGTTTTCAAGTAAGAGTATCATACCAATTTAAAACCATTGTATCTCATATGATCCCCTCAATACCCTATCGGTACATATATTGCAGTAGAAAATGATCAACAGTAAACAAACAGAAGTGCATTTTGTGATCATTTTACACGACTCTTATGGGTGTCAGTTTATCGGTGGAATGTGCTATTCAGAGCCCAGAGAAAAATAACGGTCTGCCTAGACTGCAAATGAAGGTTCACAAATGAAAGTTTTCACTAAAAGTTTGTTGGGTTTAAAGCAGAACTGACCCCTCGGATCCTTGTGCAGTCAAAGACGGTGACATCTTAGCCTCTATGTAGATCTCCAGTTGCTGTGGTGCTGCACATGTGATCAATGATGACACCAACGTATTGGTGGCTTAAAAGGTCTGTTGAGAGCTGAAAAAGGCATAGGCATGCTATAGTAGGCACAATGTCAATGAAAACAATAATGGTGTGTTTAATTAAGGGCTTAATAACATTCATTGAACATTTTATCATGCGCATTCTTGGGAAATCGTTAAATTGGTGAGTTTTATTTCCAGTGACAATATATAGAAAAAACAGTTTATTAAGAGTACAAGACAAAATATGCAGAGACCAGTAGTGCAAAACTAAATTAAAATGAAGGATACAATACATGAGCGCATAATATTCCCTCTTTTAAAAGAAAAGTAATAAAGAAGAAATAGAATCTGCTAGTTTACAGAAAACTATTTAAAGGAGAACTATGAGGTGAGTGATTTTCATAGTTCTCATAGTTAGAGCCGACTTGTGACAAAGAAGCTGTCACAGGTCGGCTCCATAGTTCGGGAAGTGAGCAGAAACATGCAGCGATCCGCTCTCTTCCCGATCGTCTCCCTGCAGTGAGCGTTGACTGTCAGTCCCCGCAGGGTTTCCCCCCTCCCCTCTCCGATTCTCCAGCGCTGAGTGGAGGAACGAACAGGGGAGAGTGCGGGCACAGCTGGCTCTGCCTCTAGATAGGCAGAGCCAGCTGACACTCACGCAGCTGGGTGGATCCAGACAGTATTGTGGGGATCCATCCCAGCTGTGGCGCTGTCAGTATATCGAAGGCAACAGTCCGTGATATACTTAGCTTTGGGTGACAGGAGGAGGTTAGTATATGTCCTTCCGTGACCCTGAGGAGAACTATGGGGAAAAACACTTACCCCATAGTTCTCTTTCAATAACATGTTCATGGGGAATTATTTCCCTCAGCCACCAATCACATTTGGACTTTAAGGGCTGGTCTGATGCTGATTGGTTACTCCAGTTCTCAGTAAGGACACATCAATACATTGGGTCCTCCTACTTATTTTATTTCTAATTTATCAATTAATGTTGGGCCCTTTGGTTATTGAGGTCTTGTGTCCAAACTGATAATGCTGCCTATACAAGAATCATCCATCGGTATTATTTTCCTTTAAATAATCTCTAATTGCTGTGAAAGATGATGAGGATAGTTTGATAAAAAAGAAAATGAGAATGTTCAAACAAAAAAAGATTCCCTTTAGTTATCCAATAATGTGAAACAATTGGTTGTGTATTTCCTCTGCAAAGGATTGGACAATTGAATTGAATCTCCTCTCCTTTTTTTGTGTGAACATTCCCAGCTTCTTTAGTAGCTCAGGTTGATTGTCTCAATACTCATGAAGTCTAGGAGACCATGTGAAATGTTATGCGAGGTCGGGTTCCCAAGCCACCCACTTTTCTCACACTATGGATGCTTTACTGATCTATACATTCATTTGTTGGGATATCGGCCTGTCACAGACAGAAGTCTGAGAATTGAACTTGGTGACCACATCCCAGTGACAAGCTCATATCTCCAGTTGCTTTATGGCCTCAGTGATGCTTAGAAAACTCGGGTCACATACTTATATAATTCCGGCCTTAGTGAAGTACATGGGTTGACAACCGTAAAAGAGCACCGTTATAGAATCTTGGCCGCGGCCTCACTGTAAGAATGCTTTGCTGGAATGCTTGTGGCTTGAGGTGTGTGCTGCTCGTATATATATGTCTTGTTTGGTAATGTTAATTTTCCCTCTGTAGTCATGAGTTACGTTACTGACTTGTTTCTTTTTGGATCCGTGTAGAATCCAGATTGGAAGGATGGTTGTCGCTTCCTGTGCGCAATACCAAGAAATTTGGATGGATTAAAAAGGTGAGTTTGTAGGACGTAAAGAATAGGGAATACTATAACTATGTTGTGAAGCATCAGGATACAGGTCAGCCACCTAATTCAAGATGTTTCTGCCAGTTTATACATGGAATGGAGCAACGGGTAGACTGTTCTGTAGTTGTTCAAGTCTTCTAAGAAAATTAATAATTGAACAGAATTATCACCAAAGATGAGTCATGTTAAATTGGCCGGATCAATATCCGATCTCTGCTCATGTTTGTTATAAACATCAACGTGATTCACTTTTCTTTTGTTTCTTTCTTTTAGTACGTGGTTGTTAGCAGCAAGAAGATCCTGTTTTATGACAGTGAGCAGGACAAAGAGCAATCTAACCCGTACATGGTGTTAGATATAGAGTAAGTATTCATTGTTATCATCATTAACTGGTTCTTAGGATGTGCTGAATGCAGTAACTACACACTCTGTGTGTTCAGTCATCATTTCTTCACATTAAATAGCTATTGAAGTCATAACATTTCATGAATTAGAGTTTGAGTGATACCCGTCATTGGCTAACCTAAGTTATTAAAGATGCAAGCTTTCGAGAGTCCTCCTTCAGGAACATTTTTAGAAATATACCAAGCTTGAAGAAGGGATCTAAGGAAACCCAAAAGCTTGCATCTTTAATAATTAAAGTTAGCCAATAAACTCCGAAATGACTCCACTAATCTAAGGCTAACATAGTACAATACTCAACTACATCTCATGGATTGGTGGAATGGCTCTATTTTCTCCTCTTCTCATGAGACCGCTCATGGAACCTCACAATGAACCCCAATCAAAACCTAGCAATTGTTTGTTTTTGTTTTTTTAAAGTAGTGAAAGCCTGTTCAATAATTTAAATGAAGTGACATTTAAATGAATATGCATATATTTTAGGAAAACATTAAGAAAAGATGCTATAAAACTTTTTGTGCAGCTAAAAATAATTTTTTGGGAGTTCATTGAGGGCCACGGAAAGTCTTAAACCTTCAGGACGTCCTAAAGTAGTCCAACTGAGCAACATGGCAAAATACTGCTAACAGTAAACAGCAATAAGCGGCAACTGGTTGCAGCTCAATGAGCCACCTGACAGACCTTACGCCGAAGCTGGCACCTAATATAACTTATAGAACATGTAACCGAATGTAATGCAAATCCAAGAAACAGAGGCCTGATGCCCTAGTGTAGTGAATCTCAACTTGA